GGGGGGGTGGGGGGGGGGGGGGGGGGGGGGGGGGGGGGGGCGGCGGGGGGGGGCGCGGGGGGGGGTTGGGGGGGGGCGGGTGGGGGGCAGGGGGGTGGGCAGGGGGGGGGGGGGGGGCGGGGGGGGGCGGGGGGGGGGCGGGGGGGGCGGGGGGGGGGGGGGGCGGCGGGGGGGCGGGGCAAAACACAAACGCCGGAAAACCCTGAACCCCAAACGCTAAACCCTAAACCCTAAACCCTAAACCCTAAACTCTAAACCCTGAACCCTAAACCCTAAACCCTAAACCCTAAACCTCTAAACCTGGGCGGCTGGGCGAGAAGGTAGAGCAGACCGAGGATGGTCAGGAGCGCCACCTCGGAACAGGAAGGTGTCGGGGTCTAGGGTTTAGGGTTTAGGGTTCAGGGTTTAGGGTTTAGGGTTTAGGGTTTTTAGGGTTTTTAGGGTTTTTAGGGTTTTTAGGGTTTTTAGGGTTTTTAGGGTTTTTAGGGTTTTTAGGGTTTTTAGGGTTTTTAGGGTTTAGGGTTTAGGGTTTAGGATTTAGGGTTTAGGGTTTAGGGATCTTTCCAGTACTTGAGGCACAGGCTTCCAGGCCCACGGGGTTTCTGAACCCTAAACCCTAAACCCTAAACCCCAAACCCCAAATCCTAAACCCTAAACCCGACAGCTATGCTTTCCTGGGCCCGCAGCCGCGCTCCATGAGAGACCTGCTCGACCATCCGGGTCTTTGGGGCAGAATTGACAATTTACGGCTTGGGACTTCGGCTTCCTGTAAGACCCAGGAGAACCTCACTCTAGGGTTTGGAGTTTGGGGTTTTGGGGTTTGGGGTGTAGGGTTTAGGGTTTGGGGTTTAGGGTTTGGGGTTTGGGGTTTAGGTTTGGGGTTTGGGGGGGGGGGGGGGTTAGGGTTGGCGGTTTCGGGTTTGTAAGACCCAGGACAACCTACACTACACAACCACACAACCCTAGATCCCAAACTCCCGAAGCCCCTGAACCGCAATAGAACTTAGAACCAAAGAGATTGATGAAGCCTCGACTTGACTTTCATGTAAGGCGCTGAACCTCCCGAAACATGTAGGTCGCAGTTCGGGATCACGGGGCTAAGATCGTCTGTCACTGTGCCGCCAAGCTGCCGCATGTGGGATAAGGCCCCCCAGCTTTGGACCTCGAATTGCTTCATAATCCCCGAATATTCAACCCCCCCCCCTACCCCCTAGTATCACATTAACCCCCCACGAGAGGTGTATTAGAGTATATGGAGGGGGGTAGTCAGTATTGGGGGTAAGGGGGGGTTGCATATTAGGGAGAGGGGATCAATGCATCATAGGTCCTAGGCTGCATCAGGTTCGAAACCTCGGCAGGACTGAAAGAAGTATGAGCTACTTGGAGGTTCATGCTACTTAGTAACAAAATTGCAACTGTACTTCTGACACAATTATATCCCTATAAGTACCCTGAACCTCCAAGTACCCTAAACCCCAAACCCTAAACCCTAAACCCTAAACCCTAAAAACCCTAAACCAGTATGAGCTACAAGCCTGGAAACGTGGACAAAGCCCAGAACCCAATTACGTGGCGACAGGAGGTGTGGAAGGGCTCCGAATGTCGAGCCGAGCTCAAGCTTTGGCTCGGAAGCCACGCGAATGACCCTAAACCCTAAACCCTAAACCCACTTCTTCCGACCCTTGGCTGCTCTGAGGCGCCTGCCCGCTCATCGCCCCTGGCGCCTGCAGCAGGAAGTGGCCCGGTTGGTATAAAGGTCTGGGGTAATTTCGGGGGGCTTATGATATTTGGGGGGGGTACCTTATTGTGGGTTTAGGGTTTAGGGCTCCGGGTTTAGGGTTTAGGGTTTTGGGTTTTGGGCTTTGGGTTTTGGGTTTTGGGTTTTGGGTTTAGGGTTTAGGGCTTCGGGGGGTTTACGATATTTGGGGATACCAAATTGGAGCCCCTATTCTAAGGGGATCCTACTATTTTGTGGACTATATTAGGGGTCCCGTATTTTCGCGAACCCCCAATTTTGGGGGACTGATTGGGGCGTTTGCGGTCTTAGGGTTTCCGAGCTTTCAAAGCTTGCGAGTTTCGGGCCACCAAGGGCCTTATAAATCCTAAACCCTAAACCCTAAACCCTAAACCCCAAACCCTAAACCCTAAACCCTAAACCCTAAACCGAAAGAGTACTTCGACCTCGGCTTGCCACCCTTAACCCTCAAATCCCTGCACCACAGCAGCGTCCGGAGTCCAAGCGGAGCAGATCCAGCCAATATCCAACGACCCAAAAAAGCTCCAACCCTAAAGCCTAAAACCTAAACCCTAAATCCTAAACCCTAAGCCCTAAACCCTAAACCCTAAACCGCAAGACTCCACGCACCAACCCTAAGCCCCTGGCAGCCCCAACAGCCCCTGATAGACCACCTTTAAGGCTGAGAGTTCAGGGATTCAAGGCTTAAGGTCTTCGGGTTCAGGCTTCAAGGAGGACAGTAGCCCTAAACCCTAAACCCTAAACCCTAAACCCTAAACCCTAAACCCCAAACCCTAAACCCTAAACCCTAAACCCTAAACCCTAAACCCTAAACCCTAAACCCTAAACCCTAAACCCTAAACCCTAAACCCTAACCCTAAACCCTAAACCCTAAACCCTAAACCCTAAACCCTAAACCCTAAACCCCTAGGGACCTAGGGCATCCCGACATCCCTAAGGCAGCCTCTTCATCCGCAGCCATAGCCTCGGGTGTACGCCAGGCTCTTATCGATCAGTCTCTTCAGACCATCGTGGTATCCATGTTCCACAGCGACAATGCTATTTATTATAGGATAGGACTAGGGGGAAGTTTGGGGAGGTAGACCCTCTGAAGAAGGTCCCCTGCTCAAGAGAGCCAGAAGAGGGTTAAGAAGGGTTCCCTTAAACAGGGTCCCCCTTATCCTACCTAGGAAATGCGGACCCTAAGCCCAAGTCCTCAACTGCAGATACTGCAGTCAAACATACAGGTAATCCAGAAACCACACACGCTCAGAATTTGCAACAAGATTGTGATCTCGCGCAGGTTGAAGGCCCGTAATCCTTGGGTTTTGACTTTAGGGTTTCGGGCTTAAGCCTTGGCGCCCTATAGGGCGTGCTATGGGGATGTTCGTGCAAGGCCCTGGAGGCTTTGCGGGCGGGGAGCCCACCACGCTGCCAAAAGCATTGCAGGGCATCTCACTGCAAAACTTCGCAGATCTGCCGTTTCGGGTTTAGGGTTTAGGGTTTAGGGTTTTGGGTTTTGGGTTTTGGGTTTTGGGGTAGCTGGCGCCGCCTCCTTCAACTCTTGGGGAGGGCACTGGCCACACCCCTCCCGCCAAGGCAGTTGCCGGCGGCTGCCCCCCCTCCAGCTAGCAGTACTTTCCTGAACTGGCTCACTTGTTGTGTTGTAGAGAACGAAAAGTAAAAGATATATCTGAAGAACGGGAAGCGCAGCAATTGTGCTAAAAGTAGTGGCGCTTGTTGTTTCTGGTCATAGGACCGAAGCAAGAATACCGCTGTCGGCGACCAGTAGGTGCCATTGCCGTGGCAGCATTGCCAGATGTTGCCAGTGTGCGTGGCGGATGAAGCCGAGTTTCCGCTTTTCCACCCAAAACACTCAAGTCACATTTGGCTGACATGTTGGCGGTAGCTACGATCGTCCACGCTACCACAATGCCAGCTACTGTGCACGAGTACTACCTGCGCATGTGACGGCGGATGGCCTCAACCTGATTCCAATTGCAATTTCAACACCCCGAGCTTTGAAACCCCAGAGCCACAAACCCCAAAATCCTGGAGTCCTATGAGCTCAACAAGCTCTGGAATGCCCACCAGGCCACCTCCGCCCCATTTGTCCCGCCACGGGCACGCATGGCATTGCTGGCCGCCCAGCACTACGGATAGTGTTCGTGCACGCTCGGTCTGGGGAGTAGAGGTTGCTTGGCTCTGCAAGGTAGCTGTAACGGCCTAAGACAGGCAGAACTTCACTCCTCGCTATCGATGAGCCTACGCCGAAGCGAGAACAGGGCAAGGAGACTTCTAGAGTTGAGGGGGTTAGGGTCGGCTCAGGCCCGAGGTTACGAAGGCTTCCGAATCGAGTTCGTAGCGTTTCAGGGTTTCAGGGCTTCGGGGTTTCGGGGTTTCAGGCTGTCGGGTTTCAGGGTTCATGGCCATGAGGTTGTGCAGCACAGGCCTACAACCCTACATCTGGGCTGATCCTAATAAAGTCTATCGGCGGTGAGCAAAAGGCCCCAGCATCGCACCGAACTCAGGTCCTCGCTACGGTTCGACCCCGTTGAATCCTGAATCAGAAGTGAACAAGCTATAAGAAGATGGGGCTCGACGTGCCCAAAGGTGGTACCCCCATTCGATCGGCCTGGGTGAAATTGCAGACTACCCTACAAGACAAGCTCCAAAGCCCTTCTTTGTAGACAGCAGGTTGCAGAAAAGGGGGGCAGCAGTGTGTCAACTTTAGGGTTTAGGGTTTAGGCTTTAGGCTTTAGGCTTTAGGCTTTAGGCTTTAGGCTTTAGGCTTTAGGCTTTAGGCTTTAGGCTTTAGGCTTTAGGCTTTAGGCTTTAGGCTTTAGGCTTTAGGCTTTAGGCTTTAGGCTTTAGGGTTTAGGGTTTAGGGTTTAGGGTTTAGGGTTTAGGGTTTAGGGTTTAGGGTTTAGGGTTTAGGGTTTAGGGTTTAGGGCTCAGGGTTTAGCGTTTCGCGTTCACACCTTGCACTCTTTGGGCGAAGGCCAGGTTCTGATGATTGCCCCTGGCAAGAATGCGCCAGGCGTGGACGCAGCCCAGGGTGATGAGAGGCCCTTCTGAAGTTTGCTCTTGAAGGTTGCAGAGGTTCTGATAAGCCCTAACCCTAAACCCTAAACCCTAAACCCTAAACCCTAAATCCTAAAGCCTAAAGCCTAAAGCCTAAAGCCTAAAGCCTTAAGTTGCAGAGGTTCTGACCCTAAACCCTAAACCCTCAACCCTCAACCCGAAGGATTTTTTGTCCACTCCGTCATCGGCAGGGCCGCTTTGCACTGTCACCCCCAGGCTCGACGATGACTTTGATCATCCCTTCCTTGGGCGGTTTAGGGTTTAGAGTTCAGGGTTCAGGGTTCAGGGTTCAGGGTTCAGGGTTCAGGGTTCAGGAGTTAGGGCTTTAGGGCTTAGGGTCCAGGGTTCAGGGTTTAGGGTTTAGGGAAGGTGCAGATGGACCGAACCTCATCCTTTCTCATGACTCGGAACACCCTCGAACCAGCTTTCAGCCCTACATCCACCCGATTTGGGGGAAAAAATCAAAAGAAAACCTACAACCAACAGTCGGAAGTTTTGGTTTCGGGATGGAGTTCAGGTGGCGGGTGTGTCATAATGTCGGGGTTCATAGATTTCAGCCCGGGCTTGGGGCAAATCCAGGCCACGGCGCGGGTGGACGCCGCACGAGCTCGATCGCCTCGGTGTACGTGTCCAGGCCGTGCAGCGTATGCGTCACGACCTGAGGCTTCAGGTTGAAACCCCACACAGCGATTTGTGACGGATGAAAGGGCCCTACTTAACTGTATAACTAGGTCTTAGTGAGACTATGGCTGTAGGGGCGGGGGGAGTAACCTATGGAGCTTGCACACGGGGTGCAAGATCTGAAGCGACCCAAGACTTGCTCTACTCGGGATTAGAGTTTTGGTATTTGCAGGGGCTGTGTCTGCAGCCCCAACTTTTTTGCAGCAGCATGTCACAGAACCACAAACCCCGGAAAGTTTATGAAGTTGAGGAAAACCGTCGCGCGGCTGAGGGTACCTTATTGGCTGTCCTTATCAAAAGGGAAGCATACTATTTGGGGTCTATATTGGGGGTCCTCAACCTCGTGAACCCCCGTATCCTAAGTCTGAGGCCTTGGAAAACACACAATTAACTAGGGGCCGCCAAAGGCTAACATGTCTGGCGCAGAGGAAAGCTTGGGCCTCCAACTGTTTCGCTGCGGCCTGTTGCCTAGTCAGGAGCAGAGGGCCTTCTGGCCGATTCGACTTCAGGGCAGTCCGAAGTTTGGTAAGGTATAACAGCCTTGACTACAGAATTCATAACGACCCACGAACCTTGAAGAACCCCTCAGATTGCAGGACCCGCGGCGCTTGACAGCTTGCCACAGGACATCAGTTCGCGAACTGCCGGCCAGTCCTGATGCTGAGGCTTCAGGGAGCATGTATGTCTTAGGGCAGTTGCATGGTCCCTTAGAAGGGGACCCCGTATATAGCCCTTACGTACCCTGTACAAGTTAAGGGCCCATACATCAGAACCCTTTAAAGGAGGGTAAGGGACCATACCAAGGGCCCATGAAACGACCCGAAGAGTATAGGGCTGCAGCAAGTTTTGTGGCTCACAATCTGCGGTGCAGGTGATAGCCCCTGTCTTCGGGCTTGCCGGGTTAAAGGAAAAGGAGTTTTAAGGATGTCCCGTGCCGCCTCTGGGTCGGAAGACAGCGAGCCCTTTATCGTCAGCTGCCGCAGCACCACCTAAGCTCACGCAATCAACTGCTGCGGATTCCGGGCTGTGCTAGGGGGAGCTCGCGTGGCTCTCTCCAGGGGCCAGGGTTCGGGCTTAGGCGGAATGGGGTTTAGGGTTTAGGGTTTAGGGTTTAGGGTTGAGGGTTGAGGGTTTAGGGTTTAGGGTTTTAGGGTTTAGGGTTTCAGGGTTTCAGGGTTTAGGGTTTAGGGTTTAGGGTTTAGGGTTTAGGGTTTAGGGTTTAGGGTTTAGGGTTTAGGGTTTAGGGTTTAGGGTTTAGGGTTACAAACGAACGGGAGCCTCAAGGACTAGACGGGGGTTTCACAGCTTGCCGCAATCAAGGGGAGATCAGGAAGAGAGAACGCTGAGGGATCAGGGGGGCCCATTGCTTGAGCTGGAAGGTTCAGGGCTTCAAAGGCTTCAGCGGGTTTTTTCTCAGGGTTTTCGGCTGTGTAGAGGTTCGTTTTCGAGGTCGGAGAGGGCTGACACTCTCTCTCGCTGCGTCCCTCTCGGTTGAAGAGAAACTATCTGAAGCCATCGCACTGCCAAGGACAGACGCCTTCTCTCGAGGGACCACCATTGGGAGCGGTATCAGACAAAGCTCAGACTCCAGCCTCCAACGCAATCCATTCCTGCCTCTCAGCAGCACAAGGGACGAAGGGTGTCAAAAAGACGAGTCGCCAAGTAAGACCCGAGTCACCCTCCTTTATGCCTAGGCTTTGGGCACAGGGCTACCCAAAACCCTAAGCCCAAAGCCCTAAGCCCTAAACCCTAACCCCTAAACCCTAACCCCTAACCCCTAAACCCTAAACCCTAAACCCTAAACCCTAGGCGTGTTGAGAAGCTTGTGTTGAATGTTGGACTGGGCTTCTTTTGAAGTCGGGACGCGTCATCGGTGCAGACCTGCGCGAGCTGGTTTCCCGAGAGCCTGTCCATGAGGAAATTTCGGGTGGAGGCTCCACGGATGTCCTATACTCCCCTTAGGGTTTAGGGTTTAGGGTTTAGGGTTTAGGGTTTAGGGTTCAGGGTTCAGGGTTCAGGGTTTAGGGTTTAGAGTCCCCCCCCCTAGAACCTTACTAAGCACCGTATTTTGCACATTTTCCCTGGGCTTTTATATAAGTGACCATGGACAGGCAGGGATTTAGGTGCCTCACAAGGCCTTGGACCTTGAACTTCAAGGGCTCAACATCGAAAGAGATCAGTGCAGCTCAGGAGGCACAGCAGGGCTGATTTAAACATCTCAGGTGCCCAAGGTCCTATAGCACCCTCAGCCCTACAAAGCTAAACTACCCTACATGGGGGGGTTTACTAAAATAAGCGACCCCTATCATCGACCCCCAAATCATAAGATTCCCTTACAACAAGGACCCCAATAAGGTACCCCCTAATTTCGGAAAGCCCCACATTGCAAGACCCTCAAGTTGCAAGGCCGCTTGAGTCCCAAACCTGGGACCTCTGAGAGGGTTTCAGGCTTCGGCTGTCAGGCTCACTTTGGGATACTCGCCTTATACGAACAGTCCTTACTAGGGATAGTACACAGTCCTTAATAGGGATTGTAGTACCCCCTATGACAATCCCTATTAAGAGCTTTGTGGTATAAGGAGGAACATCCCAACTTGAACCTATAGACCACCTCCTCATTGACCCACAAAAAGCTACCGAGCAGAATAACCCTAAACCCTAAACCCTAAACCCTAAACCCTAAACCCTAAACCCTAAACCCTAAACCCTAAACCCTAAACCCTAAACCCTAAACCCTAACGCGCAAGCGCAAGCGGACGCGGGGGGGCACCCCAGCAACACCAGCTGCCCGCCGGGGGCCACCAGCTGCAGCGCAGAGACCACGGCTGCAGGGTGGCCCGCAGCCTCCCCCCCAAGGGTTTAGGGTTTAGGGTTTAGGGTTTAGGGTTTAGGGTTTAGGGTTTAGGGTTTAGGGTTTAGGGTTTAGGGTTTAGGGTTTAGGGTTTAGGTTTTTAGGGTTTAGGGCTTAGGGTAGGAGACTCTCTAAGAGTCGCTTGGGATGTTACTCCTTATACTAACAGTCCTTAATTGGGATTGCAATAGGGGGTACTTTTATCCCTGTTAAGGACTGTGGGTATAAGGGGGAAGATCCCAGGGAGGCTTGTTGGGGGACGCTTGGGAATGCTTGCAGGGGTGCTTGTAGTGATGCTTTTCGGGATGCTTTTAGGCTTAGTTGCTGAGTTCATAAGCCCCAAAAAAGAGTGCACTTTCAGTTCTATAGGGGATTCCAGTATCCCAGAAAGTGTAAGTTGTGCTCGCTCAGCTACTAAGCAGGGATGCTTACGGTTTGGGGGCTGGCATTCACGTCTTGGGTTTCCAACGCGTTCGCGGCGCATGACACCCGCCGGGCCTCGAATGCCAGGGAGGGAAGCTCAGCCCAGGCATCCTCTGGTTTGGGAATTGGGGGGGTTTGGGGGTTGGGGTTTGGGGTTTAGGGATTAGGGATTAGGGGTTAGGGGGTTAGGGGCTCGGGGTTAGGGTTTAGTATGGGGGGGGCTTTGCAGGGAACAGCAGGCACACGGGGTTCTGCCAACTGTTTTTGGGCGGGATTGGTGTTGGTCGGAGAGCTTCAAAAAGCTTTCGCGCTTGGGATTTTATAATCTTGCCACATGTCCTGCAGAAGGTAGTTGTCAGTCCTAATCCCTAAACCTGAACCCTAAACCCTAAACCCTAAAACCCAGGGATGCAGCCGATGAAAGCCTCAAGCTCGGAGGCAGGTCTACGATCTAGAGCTACGCTGAACCCACTGCATTCTACTTGACCGGTTGCTTTTGTAGGGCGAAGCACCTTCAACAAATGTAGCTGAGCCCTGGTCTGCAGCTACATAGAAGCCCCGCCCCCCACCCCCCCCCCCCCCCCCCCCCCCCAAACTTACCATCGACGGACACACCCTTCCCAGCTCCCTCGAAATTCCAAGCCAAACCCTAAACCCTAAACCCTAAACCCTAAACCCTAAACCCCAAACCCCAAACCCCAAACCCTAAACCCTAAACCCCAAACCCCAAACCCTAAACCCTAAACCTAAACCCACTGCACGCAACGGTGCTTTGGAGCATTCGAAGGAAGGACCAACCCATCTTTCACACTCCTGGCTTGCGATGGACTTCGCCAGCTGTGCCGGGCCCTCCGCGGCATCCAGGACCTTCGGGTTTGGGGTTTGGGGTTTAGGGTTTAGGGTTTAGGGTTTGGGGTTTAGGGTTTAGGGTTTAGGGTTTAGGGCACTTCGGAGCACTTCGAACGCCCCTTCGAGGCACTTCGGGTGCGATCTCTCTGCCCTCCATACCCTCATGGCGCAGCCTCAATATGGCCAAACACTGCACCCCAGCGAACTCCCCAACAAACCCTACAACTTGGCTCATGTCCTGGGATCTTCCCCCTCATACTAGCAGTCCTTCATAATCGGGGGTACTAGAATCCCTCTTAAGGACTGTTCGTATATGGGGAACATCCCTACTCATGTCCTAGAAGAAGCAAGGTGCTGCAGAGCAATATATCTCCACTTTGAAGCCTGCAACAAGTCCAGCATTCCTGACCGGGATAGAGCAGCGACCCCCAAAAATTCGTACCCGAAGCATGCCCTAATCCGCACCAGTCTTAAAAAAACACGAAGCTAAATCCGCCGAGGCCTCGGGCCGAAGGTGTATAGGTTGTCAGAACAGGACCCCCCTCCAAATCCTCCCCGCAAGCCCAAAGCCACTTTTCCCCTTTTTTTGCTTCAAATGGGTACCCCCCCTAGGAGAGGAGGGTCCGCAAGCGGATGTCTCGCCAGGACCAGAGGCAGTTGCAGCCCATCCCAGCAGGGCGCCCCCCCGTTTTCGCACCCTTCCTCCCCCCCCCTGCAACCCCCCCCTACCCCCCCCCCCCCCCACCCCTGCTCCGACGCGCTGGCTTGAGGGCCGGGGGCTCAACTGGTGTGAGCACGGCCGCAAATCCGCCGAGGCCTGTGTATAGGTTGTCAAAACAGGCACCCCCTCCAAATCCTCCCCCCCTTTTTCGGACCCTTTTTTTGGCCTCAAATGGGTACCCCCCCCTGGGAAACCGGGGTCCGCAAGCGGACGGTTCGCCAGGACCAGAGGCAGTTGAAGCCCCTCCCAGCAGGGCCCCCCGCCCGTTCTCCCCCCCCCCCCCCCCCCCCCCCCCCCCCCCCCTCCCGCCACCCCACCTCCCCCCTCCCCCCCGCCCTGCCGAAGAGTCGCCTTAAACCTTAAGGGGCCTGGCTCAACCCTACGATCACTCCAAGCCGACCCCTAAACCCAAAAAAACCCTCAACCCCAAAGCGTGAACCTTGAGCCCTAAACTAACCCTCAACCCCAAACCCCAAACCATAAACCATAAACCCGGAACCCTCAACCCTCAACCCTCAACCCTCAACCCAACCCTTATTGCTTGGGGTCCAGCGACTTGGGCGCTGCGGAATCACCATGCTCACGCGGATGTGCTGGGCCGGGCCGAGGCGGGTCGCGTAGCGTTAAAATTAACTACCTAAACTTGGGATGTTCCCTTGTACTAGCAGTCCTTCATAGGGATTCGAATAGGAGGTACTAGAATCCCTATTGAGGACTGCTAGTATAAGGGGGAACATCCCAAATCTAAACCACGCAAAAACACGACGGTTTTGGCACCGCGCCAACGCCGAAACCCGCAGAGAGTTGACGCGCCCACGAAACAATGGGCAAAAAACGATGGTTTTAGCACCGCGACCCGGCGATTACCCGCAGAGGGTTGTCCGCGCACAGAAAGAAACGTAAAAAAAAACGATGGTTTTAGCACCGCTACCACACCGAAACCCGCAGAGGGTTGCAATCCCGATTGGCGACGTCAACCCAGCCCGCCGCCTTAGAAAGAGTAATCTTAACTAAGACATGTAGGACTGGGTACGAAGGTCTACTAAAATTCTACTAAAATCTCGTAAATTCTATGAAATTGTACAAACATTGTGAATTCTACTCTATGCACTTCACTCTATGCACTAAACTCTATGCACTTGACTCTATGCACTTCACTCTATGTACTTCACTCTATGCACTTAACTCTATGCACTTCACTCTATGCACTTCACTCTATGCACTTCACTCAATGCACTTCACTCTATGCACTTAACTCTATGCACTTCACTCTATGTACTTAACACTCCGCACTTGACTCCATGGGCTCCGCACGGAAGAACCCTTCGCAATGCTTTCGGCAAAAAAGTAAAGGGTACCACTGGGCTACCATGATCTAAAACTAAGCATGCCCAACCTGCTCTGATATGAAACACGAAACTACCGAAACTACCTAAACCCTTCCTAAACCCTTCCTGGACTATTATGGCATACGCTTGAAGAGCGAAATTTCCATAACCACGGTTAAGAGGAGACTCGAACCCTAAACCCTAAACCCTAAACCCCAAACCCCAGACCCAACAACCCTAAACCCTAAGCACTAAACCCTAAACCCCAGCCCCTAAACCCTGAACCCTGAACCCCAGACCTATCAACCACGTGCTCTCGCCGGAGCACCAGCTCGGCGCCCAGATCCGCGGCCCGGCGCCGCCGCGACGCCGTGCCACCGATCAGGGCCACAGCGACCCCGCGCGCGCGGAGTACCTCCGGTGTTTAGGGTTTAGGGTTTAGGGTTTAGGGTTTAGGGTTTAGGGTTTAGGGTTTATAGGGTTTAGGGTTTAGGGTTTAGGGTTTAGGGTTTAGGGTTTAGGGTTTAGGGTTTAGGGTTTAGGGTTTACGGTTTACGGTTTAGGGTTTAGGGTTCGAGTCTCCCTTCACCGTGGTGATGGAAATTTCCCTTTTAAACGGTCCTTTCCGCAGAGATCGTTTAGGAAGGGTTAGGAGGCTGGGCTTAAAGGTTCTAGGGTTTTTGGCTATGCTTCAATATCCCGAATCAGCTTGTGGTGTTTCACTTGCTGTGGCTACGTTGCATGCAGACCATTGCCGAAACCTCCGTTTGGTGCATTCGTGTTCTCGAGCGTTAAGGGTGACAAGTGAACGGTTGTGGGGGGTGTCAAGTTTGGCATATTGGGCCGCGTGGCAAGCTTCTCCTTGTCGTGTCCTCGTGATACTACTGCACGAGGCTGTTTGTGCTGACTTGTGGCGATGTTGCTTCTCGCAGTTTCCTCACATGTTTGGTGATCTTGCTGCAGAAGGCCTCTGGATGGCTTTTGTGGCAAAGAGCTCATCATCTAAAGTACGAGCAACGGCTGCACCCAACTCGGATTCTGCGCCTTGAAAGCATGAACCCATACAAGTTGAAGGTTACCCGCTTGACTACTGAGTTCTGCGGGCCGACAAACAGATATAGGTACACAGATTTCTTCGCGCGAGGGAGTAGAGATGGGGATTGAATTCGCTTGGGGACGTAGTGTTCGGCATCAGTTGTGCAGAATGTCCAGCAGGAGTTGTTGCAGGGTTTTGTCATGTCATGTCTGGTGAAGGGCAGGATTAGGGGCAGAAGCCAGTGAGACGACAAGACACCAACCGGGAACCCCCCGCAAGCTCTTCTCACCGTGCGCAGTGTCAGCTCCCGGAGTCTCAAGGGTTTGCCAAATCTCAACCAAACCTTCAAACCTCGACAGGGACCTGAATTTTCTTAGAATAGGATTTTGGGGTTATTCTGGTATAATTGCAAGGGGCCGTAAGGGGGTTCTATCATTCCGACCCCTATAATACCAGACTTGTAGGAGCATGCTTTCCGTCTTGGTGCATGGATGGGCTGAAGCTCTGCGTTCTATCCCTCTGAATATCTTCCTAGCTGTTCACCAGCGTTTTTTTCTGCTTTCTTGCTACGACCTCGACCCTCCGAAACCCGCGTCTACCGACAATGTATCTGAGAAGTATGCAGCAGGGGTCCAGGATTCAGGCTTTGGGGTGCTTCCGCAGCTTTCGTGCGTTTTTGGGAATCTCACCCTCCCCTCCCGTGAAGGTGCCTGCAGGAGCAGAAGACCTCCGCCGGGGTGGCCGGGGTTGACCATGGTCGAAGTTCTTTCGTCATTTAGGGTTTAGGGTTTAGGGTTTAGGGTTTAGGGCTTAGGGTTTAGGGTTTAGGGTTTAGGGTTTAGGGTATAGAGTTTAGGGTTTAGGGTTCAGCTGGAGTAGGAAACCACTCGCTGCTACGAACACGAAGCTCAGAGATTAGAGCCCTCTACAGTGAGGCCTCAAGTGCTGGTTCAAGAACCTCTTTGTGCAGGGCTCTGTAAACTTGGCCTGAGGCTTGGAAGGTCGGGCTTATGTACGAGAATGTTCATGGTCGTGTGGAACATCAACAAACCTCCACACAAAACACCCAAGAAACCTACTTCAGGCTTGAACCCGAAGCCCGGTTGCCGGATCAATCCGAAACAAAGCTTCCTAAACCCTAAACCCTAAACCCTAAACCCCCCCAACCGGCCTACCGCCCCGTCGCCGACCACCACAGCGCGCCGGCCGGCTGCATCGGGCGGCAGTCCCGCCTCGCTTGCGATTCAGGGTTTAGGGTTCAGGGTTTAGGGTTTAGGGTTTAGGGTTTAGGGTTTAGGGTTGAGGGTTGAGGGTTTAGGGTTTAGGATTTAGGGTTTAGGGTTTACGGTTTATGGTTTAGGGCTTCGGACGGGATGATTTCATTTTTGGCTGATGGTGGTTGTTCCAAAACATGGCGTCCCACAGGGTTTAAAGGGGCGGCTGTCGCGACTTTGGGATGCTCCATGCACGGCGCAAAGTAGCGTCCTCCCAAGCTCCTGATGCTGCGAAACCCGAATTGGCAACCCGGAACTGCGATAGAAACCCCCCGCCCCACCCCACAATTTAGACCCTAAGGCTTGGGATGTTTCCCCTTGTGCAGGGGGTACTACAATCCCGATTAAGGACTGTTAGTATAAGGGGGAACATCTCTACCGAAGACTTTTGAAGCCCCCTAAAGCCCGCTCCATGGCCAGGCAAGTGGCCAAGCGCACAGCCTGCACTTGGGGGCTTCAGCGTTTAGGGTTTTGGGAACAGGGTTTAGGGTTTAGGGTTCAGGGTTTAGGGTTTAGGGTTTAGGGTTTAGGGTTTAGGGTTTAGGGGTCAGGGTTTAGGGTTTAGGGTTTAGGGTTTAGGGTTTAGGGTTTAGGGTTTAGGGTTTAGGGTTTGCTGTGATCGGGCGTAGATGCTGTGAAGGTTAGGTTTCGGAACAAGCTCGAAAGCTTCGTGAGGTGCTGAAGAGCAGCTTTGGCCCGATTGTGGAGGGCCATCTGACACTTTTCTCCCACCCCACGCCGTCCAAGGCGGCAAAGCCACCCAAACCTATTCCTTTTAGGGTTTAGGCCTAAACTCAGACAACAGTCCGCTTTTCAAAACTTTGATGTTGGTTGAATCCGAGAGTCAAGGGTGCCAGCAAGGTCTCGCAGGTAAGAGAGAGGCCAGAGGGCCAGCAGGGGGTCACCAGTGGGGCCACAAATCCCAGTAGGGCAGGGTCAGAAAGGTCAGGGCGGCGAAAAGGGCGGGGAGCCATGCAGGGGCCAGGGCCAGGGGGGGCAGGGGGGCCAGAAAGGCCAGGGGGCGCTGCGGCGAGAGGTCCGGGTCCTCCTGGCCTAGGGGCCCGGGGGGTACCCCCCAAAAAGGCCAGCGGTCAAGTACGAGGAGAACGTGTTCCGGTACCGGGCCCATCGTGTGCGCTACCGATCCCCATGCTGTGGGAGGCGGGCGAGCGACCTGGGTCGGTTTGCGCCATCGAGGTCGAAGGGCTTAAGCGCCGCCCCCCCCCAACCTAGGGGGGCGGCCTAGGCCCTGAGTTTAGGGTTTAGGGTTTAGGGTTTAGGGTTTAGGGTATAGGGTTTAAGGTTTAGGGTTTAGGGTTTAGGGTTTAGGGTTTAGGGTTTAGGGTTTAGGGCTCTGGGGGCTTGGGGGAGGTGTGTGGTTGAGGCGGTTGAGGCGGCTGAGGGCTGAAGGACTCAAAACCCCGGCATCCTAAACCCTGAACCCCAAAACCCAAAACCCCAAACCCTAAACCTAAACCTTAACCTTAAACCTAAACCTCAACCTAAACCCAGAGTTCAAGCGGCTAAATGATTTTGCGCGCTTTGAGCCTCAGAGCCCACAGAAGCCCACACACGGGCTCTGGCGTAGGGCTTTCAACCCCGTGCCTTCGTTGGCCTGCGCCCTGCTTTTTGCCTTAGACCCGAAACAGACGGCCTTAAACTTCGGAATGCAAACCTCCAACCTTCACAAAATACATCATAAACTATATACACCACCAGCCGGACACCTCAGAGCCTAAGCCGCTTAACAACGGAACGCAGCCCCGAAGACCTAAACCCGGAACCCTAAGCCTGCGAAAGAAGCCATGAAGCTCTGAACCCTAAACAGAGAAAGCAACGCTGAGATTCAAGTCTCATATGAGGGTTTAGGACCCTAATATATACCCCCAAATCAGGATGCGCTTATAATAAGGACCCCAAGACGGTACCCCTAATATCGTAAGCCCCAGTTACCCTAAACCCTAAAACCCCAAACCCTAAACCCCAAACCCTAAACCCTAAACCCCAAACCCTAAACCCTAAGCCCTAAGCCCTAAACCCTAAACCCTAAACCCTAAACCTCAGATGCTTAGGTTCCGCGACCCGACCCGGCCTTGTGCACGGTGCAGAGAGGCTCAGCGAGCACGGCCAGGGGCCAGGGGACGGCCGATGGCCTTTCAGCACTTTCAGCACTTCTTGAGGTTTAGGGTTTAGGGTTTAGGGTTTAGGGTTTAGGGTTTAGGGTTTAGGGTTTAGGGTTTAGGGTTTAGGGTTTAGGGTTTAGGGTTTAGGGTTTAGGGCTTAGGGCTTAGGGCTTAGGGGGTTAGGGTTTAGGGTTTAGGGTTTTAGGGTTTAGGGTTTAGGTTTTTTAGGGTTTAGGGTTTAGGGTTTTAGGTTTATTTAGGGTTTAGGGTTTAGGGTTTAGGGTTTAGGGTTTAGGGTTTAGGGTTTAGGGTTTAGGGTTTAGGGTTTAGGGTTTAGGGTTTAGGATTTATGGTTTAGGGCTTAGGGTCAAGGATTCGGGGCTTCAGAGTTTGAAGGCTGCAGGTATGGGGGTTTGGGGCTTGGGGGAGTTGAATCGCAGGCGCCGACGGCCAGAAAAGACATGGTCGACCTCAAAAAAAACAGATCGTGGAAACATCTCTAATTGGAACGAAACTCGCAGCCTAACCCTCACACTAAACCCTATAACTATGAGCCTAGGCCCTAATCCGTCGGAACCTCTTTGTTGGGTTGCCGACACCCAAATCCAGATGCTCACGGGCACTAGCTAAATGCCCGCGGGGGCATGTGAGCAAAGGCCGAACTTGGGATCGGAATGCTTCAGGGTTCCAGTTTAAGGTGCAGGGTGCAAGCAAATACCCTAAACCCTAAACCATAAATCCTAAACCCTAAACCCTAAATAAACCCTAAACCCTAAACCCTACCGGCACATTTCACACATAACTCATCATGGATCGGAGCTTTTGGACTCAAGCTCGAGGGCTCTGGAGCTGGGGTTGAGGATGACGGGGAATCGAGCCATGAAAGCTCGAAGACAAAGCCTCTCTCCGAAAAAGAAAAGCAGGAAAGCGTTTTACGGGGTGTAGGGTTTTGGGTTTTGGGTTTAGGGTTTTAGGGTTTAGGGTTTAGGGTTTTAGGGTTTGGGGTTTAGGGTTTTTAGCGTTTAGGGGAAAGCGTTTGTTAACGATCTGGCGGCTGGCAGCACGTGCAGCTGGTCGGCCGGGAAGTGCATTTCCTGAATCATTGCACGTGCTCTCAAAGTGAACCATGCAAGAGTATGCAGAACCCCGCAGAACCCTGCAAAACCCCGGACAACTCCGTTCCTGGAAAACCGGCTCTTTTCTGGCTGGTTCTTGGAAAACTGGTCCTTTTCTGGGTCAATGCGTGATGTTGAGGGTCGTGTCCGAGAGGTTTGGAGAGGGCTTCGCAAGGCCCCGAAATCACCCGAGCCTTCAGTCGCTGCGAGGCTGTGGCATCCCCGAAAACCAAAAAAGAACAACCCACCCAAATAAACACCCTAAACATTAAACCCTAAACCCCAAACATTCAACCCTAAACCTTAAACCCTAAACCTTAAACCCTCAACCCTCAACCCTCAACCCTCAACCCTCAACCCTCAACCCTCAACCCTCAACCCTCAACCCTCAACCCTCAACCCTCAACCCTAAACCCTAAACCCAACCACCCAAAAAACCCACACCCCAGGCTTCCTGCACCCGCAACTCAACTCCCAGGCGCCGTTTGGAAGGCGCCATCCCGGCCGAAGAAGCCCGTCTCCCTGCGCTTCCTGGCTTCGGCATTGTTTAGAAGCGTTTAGGGTTTGGGGTTTAGGGTTTGGGGTTTAGGGTTTAGGGTTGAGGGTTTACGGTTTAGGGTTTAGGGTTTGGGGTTTAGGGTTTGGGGTGTAGGGTTTAGGATGTGAAGTCTCGGTGGCGCGTGGAACCAAGAAGCCCCGCCTACAAGTCACAAAGAATCCCCACCCTGAAAGCTCATGGTCTACACGCTAACTGCACCCCAATCCTGAACGCGGAACTTACAAAACCTGAGAATCACGAACCCTCAGCTTAACTTCTTAAACTGCGCCGCCACGTCTTGCATCCGAAAGCCTGAAAGCCCTAAACCCTAAACCCCCAAACTCTAAAAACCCTAAACCCCTAAACCCCTAAACCCCTAAACCCCTAAACCCTAAACCCTAAACCCTAAACCCGCGGCTTCGGGGGTGGGTCAAGACAATCTGGAACTGGATCCCAGCATCGGGCAGCGAAGAAAACCTCCCGGCCCGCTGCAGATTCCGCACCTTGGTCCAGGGTTTAGGGTTTAGGGGTTTGGGGTTTAGGGTTTAGGGTTCAGGGTTTTGGTTTAGGATTTAGGGTTTAGGGTTTAGGGTTTAGGGTTTAGGGTTTAAGGTTTATGTCGGGGGCTTAGGCTCAGGGTGGCTGAGGGGCTGAGGGGGGGGGTTGGGGGTCTCCGACCCGGCTCTCGAACCTGAACTCAAAATGGCCCCAAAAGGAAGCCCAAACAAAGCAAAACCCCAACCAGCACCCTCCAAGGGTATGCACATGTTAGCTCGACGTCTTTTTTTGACCCTCGACGTGGGGTGTTTGGGTTTGAGGGCCTTCGGGGCTTGTTTAGGACTTTTGGAAGACCCAAACACCCCAGAAGTCTTGAACAAGACACCGAAAGCATCAGAACCCAGAAGACCGAGGACCCTAAACCCCACCCGACCCCACAGAACCCCACGACCGGAGCTGAGACACGGCGCACGCCCGGCAGGAGACAGAAGGGGGCAGCCTGCAGAGAGTTTAGGGTTCAGTTTAGCTTCACTGCGAACCCCAAGATCGTCATAACTCCCAGACCTTAACTTCCTCAGGGAGAACTCCCTGAACGTTGAAACTGCTTCTTGTGAAGTCGAATCCTCCCAATGGGCTCTCTCAGTGTACAAGCTACCTGCGTTCGTGTTCGCACGATGCAAGGCATTGAGATCTCCACATTCCTGGCTTAGCTCCCGCAGACCCCCCCCCCCCCGAAGGCCTGCCTGTGCAGTGCTCCCCGATCACACGCTGCCCGACTGCCAGATGCGCCGGGGCATTCTCACCCAGCGCCACGATCTCCCCTGAGGCTTCGGGTCATGAAGGTTCTGAGCTTTACCCGAACCCTCGGGCTTTTGCACTCGACTTCAGGGCTGCAGGGTCTCGGTGTCAGCCTATGTCCCCCCCAGGCTCCGCAAAAATTGATCTGAGCGGGTTGGCAACAGCGGGTGCCAAGGATGTCTCGGGGCTTTGGGCTGCGGAGTTGAACCAGCTGGTAGCCTACGGGGACGGCGATTTTGGGGCTTAGGATTTGGGACTTGCTGTAGGTCGTACTTTAGGGTTTAGGGTTTCAGGTCTAGGGTTGAGGGTTTAGGGTTTAGGGTTTAGGGTTTAGGGCTTGGGGTAGGCACCTGCCCACTCGTGACCTGGCACCAGGGGCACACGAGCCAGGCCAGAGGCAAAGTAGCCCATGGTGCCATCGTAGAGCTCCACGTCCTTAATCTAGGGTTTAGGGTTTAGGGTTTAGGGTTTAGGGTTTAGGGTTTAGGGTTTAGGGCTTAGGGCTTAGGGCTTAGGGCTTAGGGCTTAGGGTTTAGGGTTCCTGAAGGCACTTTTGAATGGGGTTATAGGGCTTTAAGGATAGAGCTTGAACCGTAAACTTTAAAGGTTTAGGGTGCAGCCTGGCGACGACGCCTTGGGGTTCAAGGTTCAGTGGCCTTGTCGGTGCTGTTCTTAGACTTTGGGCTCTGGGAGCTTCCGGCTGACTTTTTGCCGCATCTGCAGACTTTTTTGGCTATGTTTGCGGGCCTGGCGTTTTGGGTTGGGGCTACGACTGGCCACGCAATCTCACAGCTACGACCGTTTGAGATGCGCCGGCCCGTCTGTCGGTGCAACACGGCAGCTCACTAGCATTCTCGGTTGGGCAAAGCGCTCTTTGCAGTCGGAGACGCAAAAAGAGAGCATGCAGGCTGCCTTTCACTTGACTCTCAGCTTCCCGAAAGCTTAGGGTTTGGGTCTTCAGGCAACCCCTAAACCCTAACGAACAGAGGCCGCGGAACCACGAACCCCGCAACACTCAAACACCACAAGTGGGCTTAGGCAGGGCTCCTGAAAGTGTCAAGCCTACGGGGGCTGTGAGAAGTAAGATGTATATGTCAAAAGTTGTGAGTACAGGATTCACCGACACTCTCGCATTACCTGAGAAGAATCCTCGTTGAAGCGCGGCCGGGAGGCTGTGGCACAAACGCCCACTGCAGCTATCCGTATCAGGGCCTCCAAACAGCCGAAACGTCCCCGTGACCCCATCTTCACCCCATGTTGAGTTCATGTTGAGCCGATGTTGACCCTAGAGCAGACGCCGCAGGCCGCTGTCAGGATTCACAGAGAACCTAAAGTGACTGGAAAGCCTCGTGTTGAGCCCCACATGGCCATGAACCGAAGAATCACGAAACTTGTGACCTAAACTCCTGCACAAACGACATACCACGAGTTTACCAGCACTCAGAACCTGTGTAGACAGTACATCAAAAAGGCTAGGTTGTTTGACATCGAGGGGCATTAACCCGCTTTGACGCGGAAAATCCTTCAATCCTTTTCAAGCCTTTAAGCCCTCAATCCTCACGCCCTTCGACTTAAGCCTTATCCCAAAACCCGTCTTCAAGAAGCATCAAGAGAAAACATCCCCATTCCGAAAGCGAAACGCTCCAAAGCTTGGCGAAAATAGGCCCCAGCCCGGCAATCCTTGGGAGGATCGTTGTTGAGGGGGGCAACCAAGTTGAGCCCAACCCTGGCACGTCCTGGGGTAGTTGTGGGGGGCCCTATTGAAAAAAATACTTTTATGGCTGTAAAAGGAGAAAAAATGGGATGAAGGGCAATAAAGATTCTATTTTTCTGGCTAAGGAAAAAAACAGGATTTATGGGTAATGAAAGCTAAGCATTATGTTCAAACCTACCCGGCGCCTCGTGGGGCAGACAGGCCCGAACCGGCTCGCTCACCACATCCTCGGTGTTCCCCGCATCTTGTAGACTGAGGGTTTAGGGTTTAGGGTTTAGGGTTTAGGGTTTAGGGTTTAGGGTTTAGGGTTTAGGGTTTAGGGTTACGGGTTACGGGTTACGGGTTTAGGGTTTAGGGTTTAGGGTTTAGGGTTTAGGGTTTAGGGTTTAGGGTTTAGGGTTTAGGGTTGAGGGTTGAGGGTTGAGGGTTGAGGGTTGAGGGTTGAGGGTTGAGGGTTTAGGGCTCTCCAGGGCGGTCTCGGGTTTCTGATTTGGGCCACCTTATTAAGGGCTCATTGGGGGCTTCTTGGGGGGAGCTTATTGAGGGGCTTATTGGGAGCATATTGGGCTTGCAGGGGTGGATTCGTTGAGCCGATCGAGCATGGTCGTCAAATCAAACCGAGGCTCTAGACGCGTACCCAGGACTCAGAACTCATGTGCGACGACACTGCTCTTGGTTTGATAGTTGGGCTTCGGTAGCAAGTCATCAAGCACCTCTACGATTCAAGTAAGTTAAGTAGCTGGTGACCTGGCACTTTGGGCTCCAAACCCGACGCCGAGTCTCAGCAGACTTCGCAGCGACGATGCGGACGACCAGCTTGTCTCGGCCCAACATGACCAGCAGCCATCTTTGGTGGACCGCGAAACGAGAGGACACAACTCACGTGGGCCGATAGCTTGTTGTGTTGAGCGAAAACTTGCTAAAAGGCTCTCAACCTGCTTCAACCCTAGAGCCCCCAAACCCCCCACAACAAGAAAAAGACATGCTGCTTCGCGAGGGGGAAGCCTCTCTGGGAGGCACAAGGCTCTAGGGGCTTTCGGTGTGGGGTTTGAGAGCTCGCCGTGGGCATGGCTTCAGGCTCTTGGGGCCTACGCTTTCTCGGGCGGTTTTAGGGCGTTTTAGGGTTTAGGGTTTAGGGTTTAGGGTTTCAGGGTTCAGGGTTCAGGGTTCAGGGTTCAGGGTTCAGGGTTCAGGGTTCAGGGTTCAGGGTTCAGGGTTTAGGGTTTAGGGTTTAGGGTTTAGGGTTCAGAGTTTAGGGTTTAGGGTTTAGGGTTTAGGGTTTAGGGTTTAGGGTTTAGGGTTTAGGGTTTAGGGTTTAGGGTTTAGGGTTTAGGGTTTAGGGTTTAGGGTTTAGGGGAGCACCCGCTTGTCTTTTTTTGGCACAGCGAAGAACCGATGGTCAGGAGGCCATGGACTGGCTCCCAACGCTGCAGGGGGTTTTAGGGCGAGTGCCTAAGTGCCTATGGGGCCTATACCCGTAAGCTGTCCTCAGCCCGAAACCCTCAACCGGAGTTTAGTGCAGTAAGGGACGTGTCGGAGTGTGGCTTGAGAGCTGCGGGTTTCGGGAGCCAGGAAGAGGCCCTGCACCGCTCACTGCACCACGCAGCAGCCGCAGCACTGCTGCGGATAGTCTCCGGCGCTGACGCGCATTTCGTCGCCATACACCTCAGCCGGTCGGGCTTTGGGTCCAGCGTTCGTACTCCGAAGCGCCCTCTGGGCTTTAGGAGCTTTAGGAGCTTTAGGAGCTTTAGGGTTTAGGGCTGGGGGACTAAGCACCCCCTTTAGCTCCCTGAGGGCTTCGAGAGCCGTGGCTCAAGGGTCTATAGTGCTCAGGGTTTAGGATTTAGGATTTAGGGTTTAGGCTGCAGTTTTGAGCCTTGGGGTTGCGCCACTTGCTCCGGCCACCGCGCATGTGGCTCTGGCATGTTACTGGGCCGGGAAGCCTGACACCCCACATCCTAGACTCACTCCTCGAGCCGGGCTCTAACCCGCAACCAAAAGAAAATGACACCCAATCGAAGTCTCCGAGATCCCATACTTCGGCTTCGGCCCGAGGGGCCGAGAAGCTGAACTCCTTGCCCTTGTGCACGGCAGTGACGTGGCATGAGGGGATCTGCTTGACCTCCAGCGTGGCCCTGAATCCTACGCAGTAAACCCCAGCATCCCTCAGCCCGCGCGGTGGTTCCCGAAAATAGGGGTACCCTTTTGAAAGGGTCCTTTAAGGGGGATTCTTTGCTTTTGGGGGTATAAAAACGGTACCCCTGTTTTGGGAAGTACCCACATCTCAGCTCCTCAACCCTCAGCTCGAGATGGGGCCTCCAACTTCTGCATCACCATGGAGCCTACATCGTGCTTCTTGCTGCCTTCCCGGACCAGTCCGACTATGGCATCCATCCTTGGCTAGGATTTAGGATGTAAGCTGCAGGGTCGAGTGGAGTTAGGGGCAAAGAGATGCAAAGAAGTTTCTTAAGGTCCTAGGAGTCTTGCCCTCTCCGCAGTGGTAGATGCGTCTAGGCATGGGCTTGATCCCTGTCCGGAATGCTGTGCCGGACCTGGAAAGGTCTGCACGAAAGGGCAGGTACGATGGTGACGATGCCCGCAGCATCCGGCCCAGTTCTGCCCTAAACCCTAAACCCTAAACCCTAAACCCTAAACCCTAAACCCTAAACCCTAAACCCTAAACTGGCTCTCGAGACGAGAAAATGAGATGCTTCTCAGGGTCCTGAAGCGAAGGTGGAGCGGCGCAGCGGAGTACAGCCCTGCCCAACCCTGCACTCTCAAGTTAGACTTCCCAAGATCCCTGAAAAGGCGAGTGCTGGCAGGGCCCAAGGAACCCCTAAACCCCAATTATACCCACCCTAAACCCGAAACCCCTAAACCCTAAACCTAAACCTAAACCCTAGCCCTAAACCTAAACCCAAACCCTAGCCCTAAACCCTAAACACTAAACTCTAAACCCTAGCAAACACGACCGGCTTGATGAGCCTCAACCCCCTAGACCGAAGCCCAGCTTCGGCTCCGCGGCCAGGTTCGCCCGCCAGAGCTCCTCCTCGCGGTGTAGGGTTCAGGGTTTAGGGTTTAGGGTTTAGGGTTTGGGGTTTAGGGTTTAGGGTTTAGGGTTTAGGGCTTAGGGCTTAGGGCTTAGGGCTGAGGGCGTTCATGGGACCGCAAGCCCAGAGACTCCAATACCCCTTAATTAATGAATATTCCTTAAACCAGAAAAGGGAACCCTCTTATATATACTTTAAGGAATATTCCTTAGCTAAGGGGTATTGGAGTCTTAGGAGCTTGGGGAGGGCGGAGGCGGGTTGGTTCCGTCATGGTCCCAACACCCTGAACAGTGCAAGCCCAAGATGAACAGCGCAAGTGCAAAGCCCCAAAATGAACAGCGCAAGCCCAAAACCCAAAACGAACAGTGCAAGCCAGTGCAAGCCAGTGCAAGCCCCAAGGCCATCATGAACAGAGCAAGCAAAAAGAGTGGGCTTTGTGGCTCATGCCTTCCAGTGTCTTCCACACTCTCTGTCCCTAAGCCCAATGAAAACCCGCTCCTTTACGTCCTTTTCACTGATGCTTTAGACGAATGTGCAAAAGCCCAAGGTGTTTGCAAATAACGACACCTTTCTGACGACAGTGCCCTCTGCAAAGCCCTCACGGTCCCAATGGACGGCGTTACCTTCATAAGGGTTTAGGGTTGAGTGTTTCGGGTTTACGGTAAGATGGCTTTCAATAGAAGCTTGAAGACCTACAGTACGGGGCTTTTGGAGGCAAGGCTTGGTCCCAGGGCGTATGTCTACAGCGGGAGTCTTGGTTGCGAACTCCTTACTTCAGAATCTTTGAAGAGGTAAGATGTCCTTTTTGGGCTTCTTCTCACCCCAGTGGCTGGGTGCCTTTGACTTAAGAATTTAAGAACCCCCCCCCCCCCTGGACTTCGGAAGGACGGGCATTCTTAGCTCAGTGCTTTCTTGAAGGAAGCCAGAAGGCCACAAAAAGTCCCCACATTTAGGGTTTAGGGTTTAGGGTTTAGGGTCTAGGGAATCTGAGCCTCACATTCTTTGCTTGCAGGGTTTTTAACGCAAGCGGGGACCCAATCAGGAAAATCCCTCAATCAAGAATCTGAGCCCTCAGATTCCCTAAACCCTAAACCCTAAACCCTAAACCCTAAACCCTAAACCCTAAACCTGCAGAGCTTTCTACAAGCAGGCGTCCTCCACCCAGCGACCTTGGAGGTGAATCGTGGGGCCCTTCGACTCCCGGAGCTCCTCCGTGGCTTTTGGTTCGTTGGTGTTTCGACTGGTTCAGGGTTTAGGGTTTAGGGTTTAGGGTTTAGGGTTTAGGGTTTAGGGTTTAGGGTTTAGGGTTTAGGGTTTAGGGTTTAGGGTTTAGGGTTTTTGGGTGTGGGGTTTTGGGTTTAGGGTTTAGGGTTTAGGGTTCTCTTGCGGTTGAGGGATATTGGGTCTAAAGGGGGGATTAACGGGTTTGAGGCATTGGGACTTGGGTTTATGGCTTGCAGGGGGCACGCAAAAGCTCCTGAAGTGTGATCTGCGTTGCAGTCTGACTCCACTTCGTCTGAAAAACTTTGTTGGCATGTCGCACGACCAGCTCCTCTACACCCAGGAGTAGGAGTAAGCCAAAAAGGGTGCCGTTTTTGCTTTCAAGGGGGTAAAAAGGGAACCCAAACACTAAAAGAAGGGAATAAGGGCCTACTCTGGGTCCTAGTCCTTGTAGCTCAAGAAGCTCCCACGTCCTTTGCATTCTCCGCAGGTAACTTTGCCACTGCCCTTGCATGTCTCACAGCTTTGAAAGCCCTGACCATCACATTCCGGGCATGTCACGTAGTAGCCGCCACCTTTCCTTAATGAGTCTTAGTTTAAATTAGAGGGCAAAAAACCCTCCGCCTACGATCCCGCTCAGGGATCTGAGACAAGTTGCAGGAAAGCCTTCTAAAGACTGCCGAGCTGCGCTGAGCCTTTTGAACTTCTGTAGCCTTTTCCCTCATCCTTGCCTTTTCCTTTGCCATCGGCTTCTTCCCCCTTGCCTGCAATGGAACTTCTGTAGCCCTTCCCATCCTCCTTGCCCTTTCCTTTGCCATCGGGCTCATCCCCTTTGCCTTCAAAGGAACTTCTGTAGCCTTTGCCATCCTCCTTTCCCTTGCCTTTGCCATCGGGCTCATCCCCTTTGCCTTCAAAGGAACTTCTGTAGCCCTTCCCGTCCTCCTTGCCCTTTCCTTTGCCATCGGGCTCTTCCCCTTTGCCTTCAACGGAACTTCTGTAACCTTTGCCATCGTCCTTTCCCTTGCCTTTGCCATCGGCATCTTCCCCTTTGCCACCAGCTTCGCTGGAGCTGCTGTCACTGCTTTCCTCGCACCAGATCTGCTTTTCGCCCTTGCAGTTCTTACACCACCACCAGCCCTTCCGATCGCATCGCTTGCAGGCTACGTCGCCCCGGCCATCACACTCCTCGCACTGGCTGATGACATCCGAGTGCGGCACTCTGTAACACTTTGTCATTTCTTGGAAGGGCTCCGGGGGCGTGACCTCCATACTCCACTCGTCGGGTGGCGTGCCCTCCTTGTCTACCTCCCCGCCCTGGTAAATCTCCTTCTTTTCCTCCATGGAGCGTGTCTCCACGCACGAGGTCAGCTTGACATACCTGAGCTGCTATCCCGGTCGCAACACTTGGAAGGTCCGCCCCAATCCTGGATCCTGAACCTCCAGACTTGCAACCCGAAACCCTAAACCCTAAACCCTAAACCCTGAACCCTAAACCCTAAACCCATCGGCCTTGGGCTTTCTCAGGGTTCAGGGCCTCTTGGCCTATTGAGCCTTGGGCCTCCCTAAACCCAAAACCCAAAACCCAAAACCCAAAACCCAAAACCCTAAACCCTACCTCCTCAACTCCTCAACCCCCTAAGCGCTTTGCCGCAAACGAATATCTTCAATCCTCCTGCCGACACGAGAGGCCACTTCAGGATTTTTGAGAGGCATTTAGGGTCTAGGGTTTAGGGTTTAGGGTTTAGGGTTTGGGGTTTGGGGTTTAGGGTTTAGGGTTTAGGGTTTAGGGTTTAGGGCTTGGGGGATTCAGAAGTTTCTGCAGAGCGGCACAGAAGCTCAGGAGAGTCGAAACAAAGAACAGCCAGCCAATATGCGCGGGTTGACGATATTAGGGGTACCCTATTGAGGACCTGACTATCAGGGGATCCTACTATTTGTGGGTCTAAATGAGGGTCAACCCCAGATTACTCAACATTACCCAACCAGGCCATGAGCAGTTGTGTATGGACGACTCGGGCTTAGGATGAACATTTGGAGCTCCAGCTGGCGGATTGGGAAATCGAGGTGTCAGGTTTAGGGTTCGAGACTGAGGGTCGAAGGCTACGGGTGCGGGGTACAGGGCCCAGCTGCCACAGGTCTGATTGCGTCAGCTGGCGGATCTCCATGTCTCGCACGGGCTCATCGCTCCAGCAGCAGTTCCGCTTGACTTCTGCCTCAAGGGCCTGCCTCACAAGATCATTTTGGGGCTCTGGTGCTTGAGCCTTCAACCCCAAAACCCAAAAAGAGCAGAACCCTAAACGGGCCTGAGCCCAAGACTTGCTGAAGACCCTAAACGGCCCTCAACCCTGAACCGCCTGAACCCCTCAAAGCTTGGAGTGGTTTGGAGCTAGGGTTAAAGGTGTAAGGCTTGTTTAAGGTTGCTTACGGTTTAGGGCTTAGGGGTTGGGTGGGGTGCTGGGGGAGGGGCATAGCTCAGCGCTCAAAGTTTTCAGGGTTCGGCTGCCTGACAGTTTCCGGAGTCCAGGCAATTGCCTGAGCGTGAAAGGACACAAGCTCTTGGCCATCGACCAGCGATTGCCTGCAGGGCTTCAGCGCTTTTTCTTCTCCCCACACCCCTATAAACCCCTTACAACCCCTACCCCAACATCCCTAAACCCTCTAAAACCCCCAGCATCCCTCATCAAGGGGTATAAGGAGGGACCCCTAACAGGGACCCTTAATCTTATCCCCCTATATAGCCCCTATATATATATATATATGTCCTTATATAGTCCCTATATACCCAAGTAGCCCCTGAAGACCCCTACAGAACCCCCTGTGTCGAGATCCTCCGAGGATGGGCTCAAATAACTGAGGAGGCGACCGTTGCGCCATGGCGGATGGTCGCAGGAGTCTTTCTGCGCCGAATCGCTCGGGGTTTTTAGGGTTTGGGTTTAACACGGTTAAAACCCTGAAGCCTAAAACCCTTTGCAACATCCAGGGTAACTTTAGCGGGGTCCTAATTATAACGGAATCCTACTACTTGGGGGGGTGGGGGGGGGCTATACTAGGGGTCCCCTATTTTCGTAAGCCCGCACATTCTTCTCACAGGAAAGAGAGCCGAAAACAATCGGCGCCTCATTTCCTGGGCTCACGTGCTTCGGGCTCAGGGGTTGAAACACCGCGTGTTGCCGAGTTCAGGCCACACAATAGGGTGGGAGTCTCTGGTGCCGGGGTTGACACTTTGAAGCGCTGGAAGTTCCGTGGCAAAGCATCTTTCTTCGCGCAACGTGGCAGAGTCTATGGAAGAGAAAGACAGCATGCAAGGACCGCAATATCCGGACGTGCAAGGCTCGCGCAATCAGAGCCACAGCAGGTGGAAGGATGGCAACCGTAAACCCTAAACCCTAAACCCTAAACCCTAAACCCTCAACCCTAAAATGGCAGCGTGGCATGTCGGTCCTTGCATGGGTGTTTTCTCGGAACTCGAGACCCGGCCAATGCCTCAGCCTCTGTGCAGCGTAGGCGACCTCAACCCAGGGTCGCCGAGCTGCGAAATCTCCCAAGTGGGGATGTCTCGCAGATTCGAATATAGGGGCCTGAATAATTAAGATAGGGTTTCGGGGGTTGTTATCGTATAGTTACTAATGAACCACAAGGGAAGATCATGAGTAAGTATTCCGACCCCTATATTATTCGGGCTTCTGGGTTTTGGGCGGCTTCCTGTACGGCGTCACAGGACGGGCACCGGAGAGTTGATGGAGGGTGACTTGGCCTGAGGCGCGGGCAGAGACATCTAAAAAAGGGCTTAGGGTTTAGGGTTTAGGGTTTAGGGTTTAAGGTTTAGGGTTTAGGGTTTAGGGTGTAGGGTTTAGGGTTTAGGGTTTAGGGTTTAGAGTCTAGGACCCTAGTGGAGATTGTCCAACATCCGGGGGGCAGGGCTTGTGCTTCAAGATAGGACTACTCGTGACTACTGTCCTCAGTAGGCAAAACGGAATTCGGAAGCACAATTATTGATCCTGATAAAGGAAACCCCAAACCGAAACCTCCAGATGAAAGAAACCTTCCGAATCAAGTTTTCTAGAGTGATTCAGCGGTTCTAGGGCTGGGTTTGAAAGTTAGGGCGTGGTGGCTTAGTCCCAATGTGTCATGTGCTCTTGCAACCAAGGCATAGGGAATCTGTGCTTATTGAATGCCATACTGCACATAGCTGTTAGGGTTTAGGGTCTAGGGTTAAAGGGCTTAAAGGGCTTTAAGGGTTCAGGGGGTTAAAACGCAACCCGAGACCCGAGCGAACATCAGGCCGTCTGGAGGAAAGAAGGGAAAGTCGACGAGCGACTTCTCCTCCACCTGGCGCCCGTCACGCGGAAGGGTTTAGGGTCTCGTTGTCTGGGGTTGGATTTAGGGTTTAGGTTCTAGGGTTTAGGGTTTGGGGTTTGGGGTTTGGGGTTTAGGGTTTAGGGTTTACTTAATCCCTGTTCCCCTAGGAAGAAAAAAGGATCCTTTTTGTTCATACATAAGAAAGCCCATAACCCAAAAAGTAAAAAGGATCCCTAACACTGATCGAGTCTAGGGTTGGGGCCTAGGCATTGCACATGCTCTAGGCTTTAGGACGTAGCCTTTAGGGAGTTAGGGTTTTCGAGCAAGCTGTTTGTTCTGGGTTCGGGCTTACCCCGAAGCCTTGAGCAAAGCTGTTTTTGAAACTACTTGGTCTGCCACATCTCCCATCTATATACACGCCTGTCACCCTCCCGCGTGGGATTTATGGCTTTGGGTTCTCCTGGTCTGGAAATTAAGCTCCCAACCCTAAACCCTAAACCCTAAACCCTTCAATCGCTAGCCTCGTGGCGACTGTCCGGCGGTATCTGGCTCAAGATCTTCCCTGACAAGTGGGACTCTGACTCAGGGAACTGGGGGTTTAGGGTTTAGGGTTTAGGGTTTAGGGTTTAGGGTTTAGGGTTCTTGCAGGTTTCCCGGTTCACTCTCCACCCTGAAAGAGTCCAAAACGCTCTTGAATCCCCAAGAGAACAGAGCAAATCCTGCAGCATCTTTTTGTTCGTCCTTTTGTTCTGCTAGATGTCTTGGGATGTTCCCCCTTATACTAACAGTCCTTAATGGGGATTATAGTATCCCCTTTTACAATCCCTATCAAGGAATGTTAATATATGAGGAACATCCCAATACATATCTTCTAAACCCTCTTTATTCCGGCAAATTCCTGTGGGGGTGGAGCTCGAACATCCGGACCCTAAATTTGTGCGGATGTTTGGAATTTAGGGTGTAGGGTTTAGGGTTCAGGGTTTAGGGTGTAGGGTTTAGGGTTTAGGGTTTAGGGTCTAGGGTTGAAGCACACTGCCCGCACCACAAGGCCCGGGAAACGCTGGCTCGAAGCTTACCTTTCCGCCGGCGCGAACGACAATCTCGATGTCCCTGTTGAGGGTGCTGATGCTTTTCTTTCTGCCCTTCAAAACTTGCTCGCAGACCGGCCAACGTGAGCTCACCTCACCCTGAAACATCCTAAACCTCCACGCCAAAAACCCGAACACACGAAGACGGCAGGGACACCCTGCCCCAAGCACGCTCAGCTGCATCCTCTAGAGACTTTCGACAGTCCAAGGCCCCAGCTACAACCAAGGAGACCATCTTAACTTCCCAGGAACCCCTTTGGGCTGCTAAGGGTTTAGGGTTTAGGGTTTAGGGTTTAGGGTTTAGGGTTTAGGGTTTAGGGTTTAGGGTTTAGGGTTTAGGGTTTAGGGTTTAGGGTTTAGGGTTTAGGGTTTAGGGTTTAGCAGCAAAGCACAAGCAAAAAACGGCCCACTCAGCCCGAAAGGCTTCGAGTTGTAAGAGGCTCCACGAGTCAACAGCCCCTACCTACGTCCACCAAACACACCAAGCCCTAAACACGGCTGCCAGACTCAGATTGGTCAAAGGCCAGCAATAGACCAACCGAAGTCGAAGACATGCTAAATCTCGGTGTCTGGCCATACTCGCAGCCACACACAACAAGCGGCTGCTTACCTGAACTACCAGTTGCTTAAGAACCCCCCAAGAAAGGAAAATATTTTCCTTATAAGGGTATATTTTCCTTATCAAGGTATATAGGGATTATTATTTTCTACTTTTTGGGGTGGGGGTTCTTAAGCAAATAGCAGTTAAACCGTTCAAGATGCAACACTCTGATCCTCAGGGTTTAGGGCTGGGGGCCTTAAACCTACACCCCAAAGAAGCCGCGCGCCTGTGGCATAGACACGCTCGCGGCACCACTCTGTCGCGATAGGCATGGATCGCCAGAGATGATGGAGGGTTCTGGCAGGGCCAACATGAACCCCAAGCTTTCAGGGTCCGTGAAACGCCAAAAACCCTCCCAAGTCCCAATTCCCACGATACCCCAGACCTCCTCCCAGCTCCCAACTCAGAGCTTCTTTGGGCTTTGTGGGTGTTGTTTGCCTTGTGGGTTTTGTGGGTTTTGGGATCTAGGGCGCTTCGCTTTTATTGTCATGCTTCGGACTCATTTGTAGGGCTTAGGGTTTGGGGCTTAGGGTTTTGGTACTTCGGGGGAAGGGGGAGGGGACTCAAGCCTATTGTGCCCAGCTGACTTCTGGGGATGTTGGCCCCTGCTTTGTTTGGGTTTGGGCCTTGGGTTTAGGATCCGTGATCCGAGGGCTGATAATGTGCTGTGACTTGACGCAGCGCTCCGCTTGCATGCGAAGCCATGTTAACGACACAACGGGGCCGAACTGCACCCCACAACATCCTAATCCTCACCCCCTGACTACTACTTGCTTCAGAACCCCCAAAACTAACAAAATGTTCTTCCTCATAAGGGCAATATGGGGATTAATATCTCTAAATTTTTTGGGGGTGCTTAAGCAAATAGTAGCTGAACCCTCCAATGGTTCGTCCCACTGCGCCTTCTGAGCTGCACATCGTTCGCAGATCGGTGTTCGAGCCATTTCGCCTGCAGCCGCGGCTGGTTTAGTGTTTGAGCTTTGCAAGGGCTCTGAAACACGACTGTACCCGTCTACAGTACAGTAGACCCTCCGCACTACTTTCTGGGGGAAGAGGCCAGGGCAAAATGGCGCCGAAACAAGAGTGCAGACCTCTCCATTCTGAGCCTGGGTAAACTCGAACCCTTAGGTGCTGAATACCCTAGCCCAAAAAAGGTTCACCTTTTATATGTAGTAGGATTCTATTTTACCAAAAAGTTTAAAGGTTACCTACCCAGCCCAACCCTAAACCCCAAATCCTCACCCTAAACCCTAAACCCTAAACCCTAAACCCTAAACCCTAAACCCTCCGCCCTGGCGTGGTCAAGGAACGAGACCGATGTCATTGGCCATCTGATGCAGCTTCGTCTGCATGGCCTCGTGCGGAGGTGCTGGACCAAGATTCTTTAAAGCTTGCCATGCAAGGCTTAGGGCTTAGGGTTTAGGGTTTAGGGTTAGGGGTCTAGGGCTTAGGGTTTAGGGTTTAGGGTTTAGGGTTTAGGGTTTAGGGTTTAGGGTTTAGGGTTTAGGGTTTAGGGTTTAGGGTTTAGGGTGTAGGGTGTAGGGTGTAGGCGGCAGGGTTCGGAGTTGAAGGCGGCCGTTCGCACAGCAATCGAACGGGCCCAGGGATGTTCTCCTTGGCCCGAGATGCCCAGACCCGTGGAGCCTGAAACCCTAAACCCTAAACCCTAAACCCTAAACCCTAAACCCTAAACCCTAAACCCTAAACCCTAAACCCTAACCCGCATATGTAGGCAACCATCGCTTTAGCGAAGGCCTTAACGGGAGTGCAGGAGTGGATCCCAAAACCATCTCCCACACATGCCCTTAGATACCCACGCCCCCTAAACCCTAAACCCTAAACCCTAAACCCTAAACCCTAAACCCTAAACAGCAGTAGGTTTTAGTTTGGAGGCGCACAACCCGTAAGCCGAACACCTTGCCTACACCCTAAACGCTTCTAGACCCAAGAATAATCCAGGCATCAACAGGGTGCCCCTTTGGTTTAAAGGGGCTTCTCGGGGAACCCCCAAAAAGAATGAATAAGGGCCTACACGTACACTTGGTCCTAGACTAACAGACAGCGAGGTTTTGCAGCTGAGGCCAGATCCTCGACCCATTCCATCTCAAACTTCTCCCAATCTCTGATGAGATCCTGTCCTCTCAGGGCTGAGGCTACGGAACAACCCCAACCCCCTGAACCGCAAGCTTCAGCCACAACCCTGAACCCTAAACCCTAAACCCAAACCCCAAACCCTAAACTAGGTCTCAGGTTCAAGGACACTGGCACAACAAAAGCCCAGGAATCAGTCGGGATCGGCTAGAACGAGTTGGACCACCTCTCAAGGATACATACATCGCAGTCCGGCTGGCATAGTTTTGAGAAACGAAATCTTGGGTCCTGCGCCGAACTGCGTGTCCCGACGTTTTAATGAGAGGCCATCCCTCTGTTTCCTGCGTAGTTCGTTTCACTTGATTCTTATACTTCCGTTAGATTCCAAGTCAGAGCACAAGAGCTGAAACCCGCATCCTGAGCAAGAGAGACACAGGCAGCCCGAACTCCCCAGGCCTATGCAAGTCATGAGCCCTAAGTTTCAGTCCCGAATCACAGGCACCGGAACCACCTTGTGCGTCGTAGAGTCGAACCCTAAACCCTAAACCCTAAACCCTAAACCCTAAACCCTAAACCCTAAACCCTAAACCCTAAACCCTAAACCCTAAACCCTAAACCCTAAACCTAAACCCTAAACCCTAAACCCTAGAAGGGTCGCAGCTCCTTTCAGTGCGGGCGCCACCGTGCGGGCCAGAAAGCCTTTGCAAAAGGAAAGCCAGCCAGGGGCAAGGCTGCATGGGGCGACGTGGGGGCTCCCAAGATCGGGGTACCCTTGTTGGGGGCCCTTTAAGGGGGTTCTGTTCTATTAGGGTAGAAAGGGGCTACCCCCGATTTTGTGGGAAATACCCCACATCAAGATTCCTGTGAACTGGATTGAACCTTGGGCCCCTAGACGTCTGTACTAAATACCACAGTTCAAGCTTAGGGTTTGGAGGCTCAAGGCTTCGGGCCCCTCAGGGCCCAAATGCCGACACCTGAACGACTGAACGACTTGCTTTCGCCCGGAGGCCGACGGGCAGCACTGCCCTCATGGACCTCGCCAAGGAGGTTGAGAATGGCGGTGAGGGGTTGCTGGTTGGATTGTGGAAGCCTTTCTTTTGCAATGCGCAGGCACGAGGCTGAGCGCATTGAGTCTAGCGTGGCTACTCCTATCGATCAGCCAGCAAAACATTAGACTCAGTGTTTCCAATGAGAAAGTATCATTGCGGAAATGCTGGCAACCTCACAGCACCATGTTGCTTGAGGGAAAGAGAGCTTCTAATGGCGGGAGGACTGTCCACTCTACGTCTTCGTTGAGCGACGACGCAGCTTGCATTGATACGATATGTATGCTACGAACCCATGCCACTTTCAAGAAGAAACTGTAAGATAGCGAAGGTGGGTGTAGCACTTCAGTCTGGAGCAGCACCGGGCACAGGAGGCTGAGACCCAAGCCCTATACCCCCAGCACGAAATTTTGGGGGCCCTGAAGCAACATTTGGAGGGAGCAAGGCGTTAAAGGTTTTGAAGACTAGGGCTGCCAGGGGTTTGCAGAAACTTTTGGAGGGTTCTCCTTGCGACGAACTTGTGAATCCTGAAAGCCTCCTGGCGTTGACTTGCCCAAAGGGAACCCCCTAACCAAGGGCGGTTGTATTGGACTATAAGCCCACAAGCGCTTTTATCCCCCGTGATCCTCAACTTCCTTCAAGGTCTGCCGGGGTCCCGCACTGATGGTCGCTCGTCGCACGGAGCACCTCATGGGACAGAGCCGGTGTCTCTCAGGCGTTTGAACGCCCGAACGATCCAATTCAGGCAGGTAGACCGCATGTACTTGCCACGGGAAACCCTAAATCCTAAACCCCAAAACCCTAAACCCTAAACCCTAGTCACGGTAGCAGAGAGTCGGGGCGACAGCTCTCGGCCCATGAGAGTGTCGGAAAACTTTAGCGTACCATATGGCTCAAGGTGGGGATCCCACAAGATGGATTTTCCCCTTATACTAACAGTCCTTAGTAGGGAAGAAAATAAGGAGTACTATAATCCCTATCAAGGACTGTTAGTATAAGGGGGCGCATCCCAATCTACAAGGGCCTTCCGACAAGCCTACGTTAGGCGCAGGGGCTCTAGACCCTCCTTAAACCCCAAACCCTAAACCCTAAACCCTAAACCCTAAACCCTAGAAATATCTTTTAACCGAGGGAGGGGACAACCTCAAGAATCTCAACCCGCAACAAAGTCCCCCGCCTCCTCGGCGCTGAAGCACTGGCCGAGCTTGTTGCGGCCCTGGTCAGAATATGAGTTTAGGGTTTAGGGTTTAAGGTTTAGGGTTTAGGGGTTGGGTTTAGGGTTTAGGGTTTCGGGTTTCGGGTTTAGGGCTTGGGGTTTAGGGTTCAGGGTTTAGGGCGGGTAATATAGGCCGGAATAATTAGAATAGGGCTTTGGGCGGTTATTACAGTATATCCAAAAAAGGGACCCTCGGGGAATGCTAGTAGAATTATTCCGACCCCTATAGTAGACAGGGCTGGGGAAGCACAGTCGAGGCTTCGACTTTCGTGTGGGCTTGCTTGAGCCTCAGTTGCGGCGATCTGAAGAGTAGGACCCAAAGAGCCCAATATCCCTTAAGTAGGGAACATTCCTTAATTTATAGAGGGATCCTTAATATGGTTAGGTATATTCCCTAATTAAGGGGTATTGGGCTCTTTGAGGAACGACATTGATGCTTGGGTTGTTCTGGCTGCTCCAGGCAGCAAACACAGATAGCGCGCTCACACATCCTGTACACTCGGACTGAGGCGTCGAGGGGGCTTAAGGCTTCGTTTAGACTTTGGAAGAAGCTGCAACGCTGTCACCAAAGGTTGGGTTCAATCCATCCTGTGAGGTGAACGCGTTGCAGGGCGTTGCAGGCTTGGCCGCTTTTGGGTATTGTCGCATTGGTGCTTGGGTTCGAGGTCGGCTTCTGCTTCCCCCGACCCCCTCGTGTGCAGACATGTCATTTCAGAAAACCACGAACTCAACCTCGGCGTTCGAGGCTAAGGTCAGGTTAACCGGTTGATATCATCCTTACGTGTTTGCTTCCTTCCCGCCTGCCTGGCTTGCCTCTTCCTCCTCCTCCTCCTCCTCCTCCTCCTCCTCCTCCTCCTCCTCCTCCTCCTCCTCCTCCTCCTCCTCCTCCTCCGCCTCCGCCTCCGCCTCCGCCTCCGCCTCCGCCTCCGCCTCCGCCTCCGCCTCCGCCTCCGCCTCCGCCTCCGCCTCCCGCCTCCGTCCGCCTCCGCCTCCTCAACAACCGCTGTCGTGAAGCGTACTTGGGCATCTCAAGACGTCCAAATACTATCATTTATTTAATATTTACATTACTTGGAAGGCCCCCCCAACCGAGCCCGCCCCAAGCCATTCGTTCTTGATCCTCGTGAACGTTGTTCCTGATCGTTGCTTTTGTCTCAGTCCGCATTTATGCGTTCGACTCCTGTGCCGTCAGGGCTCTAGGACTTTAGGGCCTTAGGGCTTTGGAGGTTTAGGGGTGTTCTTAAGGCATTCAAATCTTTAGAGAAGGCGCGTAGCTGGCAAACCCTAAACCCTAAACCCTAAACCCTAAACCCTAAACCCTAAACCCTAAACCCTAAACCCTAAACCCTAAACCCTAAACCCTAAACCCTAAACCCTAAACCCTAAACCCTAAACCCTAACCCTAAACCCTAAACCCTAAACCCTAAACATCCCTAAACCCTAAACATCCCTAAACCCTAAACATCCCTGAACCCTAAATCCTAACTGTATTTGATCCTGCCCCAGGCCTCGTGCATGCCCGCTGCGCAGCGCATGGCCTTGTCCAGCGTCAGTCCGACGGACTCCAGCAGCAAGCTGACCTCTGAAGCAAAAGGCTTAGGGTTTAGGGTTTAGGGTTTAGGGTTTAGGGTTTAGGGTTTAGGGTTTAGGGTTTAGGGTTTAGGGTTTAGGGTTTAGGGTTTAGGTTTAGGGTTTAGGGTTTAGGGTTTAGGGTTTAGGGTTTAGGGTTTAGGGTTTAGGGTTTCGGAGCCCTCCGTGCACCGTCTTGGGCCCAGACCCTGAGCCGCAGCTTCAACCTTGACTAATATCCCCCTCAGCACCCGACGGTCAGACTGGTCGAGTAGGGCGACGCAGTGCCCTGGTTTCAGGTTTCGGGTTTAGGGTTTGGGGTTTAGGGTTTAGGGTTTCGGGTTTCGGGTTTAGGGTTTAGGGTTTAGGGTTTAGGGTTTCTTCAAGTTCAGACTCTGCGTCTTCATCCTGACCCGCTCCATCCACTACGAGGGGCCCCTACGATGTCTTGGGCGACATCGCTTACGGCTCCAGGCCTCGGGTTCAGGCGAAGCTGCAGGGTCCACCTAAGAAACTCCGTAAACAGGGCACAAGACTTCTCTAACCGGGATAGAAATCCTCGAACCCCCCCCCCCATCCCCAATGCCCTACGACTTGAAGGCTTACGGGCAAAACCTAGTCTCCCCGGCCACGCCCTACCAAAAAACTCCACCGCGGAGCGCTAAATAATAGGGCAAGGGTATGGGGTCTCGGGTCTAGGGTCTAGGGTATAGGGTTTAGGGTTTAGGGTTTAGGGTTTAGGGTTTAGGGTTCCGCATGGTTTGGAGTTTCCTAACCCCTGGGATTTCCTTGTCCAGCCCCGACGTATTGAAGGTGCTGGTGGCCTGGGCACTGAAGCCGTCATTGGGGCAGGGGTAGGGTTAAGATGGATTTGGGAATCGGTTTGAGAGGTTGGGGTCTGGTGGAGTGTGTAAGCTGCAAGGGCTAGGCATGTTGATCTGAAATGTCTAGCTTCTGGGCTTGTCAAGCCAGTGCCCCTAGTTTTCGTTTTGCTGGAGATGTGAGGGTTTATGCTCTTAGTAGGGTTTAGGGTTTAGGGTTTAGGGTTTAGGGTTTAGGGTTTAGGGTTTAGGGTTTAGGGTTTAGGGCTTTGGGGTTTAGGGCTTAGGGCTTAGGGCTTTAGGCTTTAGGAAGTCCTGGGGCTCTAGGCTTGGGCTTCGGATATCCGTTTTGTCATCGGAGGAGTGCACGGCTTAGGACATGGGGGTAGAGCATTCTTGCTGTGTCACCGCGGCCTCTCAACCCCGAAGCCTTTAGAACCCTCCCATCCTAAAGCATTCAACAACATAAGGGGTTCTGAAATACCTGCTTGGCGTCCTTGATCTAAGCCAATTCTACTGAACGCTTCGGGGGTTCCATAATTCATAGGGTCCCTTATTCTCGCAAACTCCCAATCCTTGCAGGCAGGATGCTTTTGACCCTAAACCCTAAACCCTAAACCTAAACCCCAAACCCCAAACCCCAAACCCAATCCCTTTCCTTAATCCCTGTTCCCCTAGAAAGAAAAAAGATCAGTTTTGTTTATATATAAGAAAGCCCATAGCCCAAAAAGTAAAAAGGATCCCTAACACTGATCTAGTTTCAGCCTTGCAGGCAGGATGCATGAGGGAAGCCCCGCGGCAAGTAAAGGATGTCGCCGGGCTTCAGGCACTCGTCGATCAGCATGTCGCCTACCTGCACGCGAAGCCGACGATGGCCCTTAAAACCCTCTGAAAAATGTTCCTACATTATGACCCTCTTCAACCCAATAAGGCAAAAATGTACGACATCCCTAGGGCCTAGCAAGAAGCACACTAGGAGCTCAATAGCTCTGCGTTCTCTGAGGCTTGGGAAACTCGAGGCCGGGGGATGGGGGGTGCGTGCGCCAGAGTCTCAGAGGGATGGAGGATAACGGGTGGAGGACGATAACATTCGTATTTCTTGGATTCCCGAAGGGTCACGGGCTAGGGTTCAGAGAGTACTTGAGTGTCGAATCAAACTTGAGACTAGACCCATTGTCACCGGACTCCCAGAAGGAGCTGTCAAGGAGTGTCAAGGACGTTTCTTCTCTGCACTTCCTGCTCCGAACATGCGCAGCACTGGTTGACTTTAGGCTTAGCTGGCTTATCTGAGGGCAAATCCCTAAACCCAAACCCTGATAACTAAACCCTAAACCCTGAACCCTCAACCCTAAACCCTAGAAACCCTAAACCCTGTCAACCCTAAACCCGAGACCCTACACCCCAAACCCTAAACCCTCAACTCAGAACCAGCCGCAGCCCCCGTCCTGCTGCAGGAATAGTACGTCTCCCGCTTTGCCCCTGCCCAGCAACGGGCACGCCACAGGGACTTCAAAACTGACAAAGAGCTCCATAGAGATGGGGGTTTGCGAAATGAGGGATCCTGAATAAGGACCCCCAGATAGTATGGAGCCCTATGGAATAAGGACCCTCAATAAGGTACACCCCCTTATTTCGGAAAACCTCATATGTTCTGTCTCTCCGGGGTCTTTGGACTTGCAAGAGAATGACTTGGAGTCCGTTTGTTGGACCTCGGGTGCAGGAGTTAGGACAGGGGTCCATGAGTTGGGGTACGGAGATTGATTTTTTGGGCCTCAATCTTGCGGTTCAGGCGGACAGCGCCGAGACTTGCTCTGCAAGAGCAACGACATCCACGAGAGTGGGCGGCCTAAGCCAAGGCAAGCACGAGCTGAGCGTCCCAGGCTTGCTGCGAAGGCTATACTCCCCTTAGAACCTCAAAAAAAAAATAGGATTTTGAATATTCTCTTGGGCTTATACTAAAATCTACTAATTCCTAAAGGGGGCTGTAGAAGTGAAGCAAGCGCAAAACCAGTTCCGAAGCTGTCTTTGCTACGCTCACAGCGAAAACGGAAATGGCCAAAACAAATCAAGCAACTGCTGGCCTCAACCTCCCCACGTGCTCAACTAGACCCCGTACTCCAAACCCCGCGCAAAAACCCTCGCAAAACCCTTCTCGAAACCTTGGAGACCCGAAAGCCAGACACTCGACAAACCTTAAACCCTCAACCCTCAACCCTCAACCCTCAACCCTAAACCCTAAACCCTAACCCCCAGAGGTTTCGGGGCTTTTGGCTTTAATCCATGCCCCGCCTATCTGTCATCCCTGCATCGAGGACTGGCCAGGAGGGCACCTGGGCACTGGTCCCGTAGATCCGCCAGCGCTTGAAGCCCTGCGGAGTTGGGGGAGTGGAGTTGGGCAGATTGGGGGGGTTAGGATTTAGGGGGGAAGGGGGTCGAAGCGCACAGAGGCTTGAATTTTTGCAAAGGCATTGCTTCGGGAGCGCAGGTGCTGACCTATCCGCTTGTGTCCTGCCACCGCTACAGGAAATCAAAAAGATTGGCTGAGGATGTGGGGTGGAGCGTTCGGAGAAGACGCTATCTGCGTCTTTATTTTTTGGGTTATCTGCGTCTTTTTTTCGGGTTATCTGCGTCTTTTTTTTCTGTTTTATCTGTGTCTTTTTTTCCTCGGTTTCGTGGGACCTGCCACGATTTTGGGCGGTTCACTGGGTTATCTGCGTCTTTTTTGGGGGTTATCTGTGTCTTTTTCAGGTTGTGGCATCATTCAGCGTTTTGGTAATCAACATGTCTTTTTGGGGTTGAGGCTTGCCCAAATCCAACATTTCCAGTTAGGGTTTTGGGTTTGGCAACCAACATCTCCTTTGAGGTTTAGGGTTTGCCAACCAACACCTCTTTTAGGGTTTAGGGCTTGGCAACCAACATCTCCTTTTAGGATTTAGGGCCTTTTAGGGTTTAGGGTTTGGCAACCAACATCTCCTTTTAGGGTTGAGGGCCTTTTAGGGTTTAGGGTTTGGCAACCAACATCTCCTTTAGGGTTTAGGGCTTGGCAACCAACATCTCCTTTTAGGGTTTAGGGCCTTTTAGGGTTTAGGGTTTGGCAACCAACATCTCCTTTTAGGATTTAAGGTTTGGCAACCAACATCTCCTTTTAGGGCCTAAAACTAACAGTTCCTTTGATCCGCTTTGCCCAGCACCTCTGTCTGCATGATGAAGGAGTCGAAGCGGTCCGTGTGAAGTGGCGCAGTCACTGGGGCATCCAGGTGCGAGATGTACACGTTCAGCGTGACGAAGGGGACCTGCGCTGTTGCCGGAAAAGTGTCGCAGAGGAAGGCTCTCCTGAACCTCACACTAACCCCACACCACCCTGCACCCTGAAAGCCCAAGAATTGGAAGCCCAAAGCAGCACCCTGAACGCTCAACCCGAAAATCGACGCTTTCCCTCCCTTGCCGCGCCGCGCCTGGAAGGCTGACTGCAGCGACTGGCAAACCTGTCCCGGCAAGAACCCATGTAGGTACCCAAAAAAAGGGAGCGAGATGTTAGTCAGTGCGGTTGAGTTTTGGAGTTTGGGGTTTACGGGGTTTTTGTGGGGGTTTATGGGGTTGAAGGGTGTATGGAGTTTCGGCATCAGTGAAAGGACGCGGGGAAGGGTATTGCAGGGGACCCAAACTAAGGGCCCATACTTCGGATTCCCTACTTTTGTTGTGACAAACTGTCCTTTGTAGGGCTGTCAGCCTTGGGACTCGTGGCTCAAGATTAGGCACGTGGAGCCCGTGCCAAGCTGTGATGCGCCCTCTCTGAGGGGTTTACAGAGCGTTGGTCAACACCGAGCGAATCTATCAAACTCATACCGCACAGGCCTCGCAAGCACAGAAAGAACCCAGGATTCAGCGTAGTGGCGTAGATAAAAAAAGTAAGTGCCTAGCATCCGTGAACACTGCAAGCAAAATGCCCTCTGCTTCTGCTTTTGCACAGCTCTTGATCCAACTCTTCAATCCTTTTGCAGAACCCGTGTCGACCTTCACTTCCGGCAATACTTCCCCCATCACACAACCCGCAAGCAACGGCCCTCGCACCTCTGCTAGGCGAGGGGACAGCGAGTTCCCACTGGAAAGTACCCAGGTTCCGTTCTTCACACCTTCAATGCGGAACTTTGTACTTATGGTTCGAGCATTGGGTCTTGAAGGGTTTCTTGAACTGCATGTATGCTTGTAGTTGCATTTGTAACTCTCTCTTCAACTTGGACACTTTCCTGAACTCAAGCTAAGCCTGGGAAGTTGCTTCGTCTGCTCCTTGTTCAGAGGGGGCTATCTCCATGGCTAAGCTGACGGGTAACCTCAGAAACCTGGACAAAGACAAGGTCACCGGAGGAAAGCATTTAAAAAAAAAAGAACTGAACCTCAACTTACATGCTAGAAACAGCACTGCTCCAGGACTCCAGGACTGGCCCTCGATACCCTGGACGTCGTCATCTCGGCCGTCGAGGGGCGCTCCCGGACGACTTCCTCTGTGAGGTCAGGCTCGCACCTGCTTGAAGGTTTCCTTGAGTAGTTGTAAGCAAGGGGAACCTCTATAGTAGCTTGCAGGAGGTTGTAGCAACCTAGGCATATCTGGCATTAACCCTAAACCCTAAAAGCCTCATATAACCATGAACCTTCGACTCGAGTTAGACTGGAAGGTGAAGAAGTTGCAAACTTTCAAGACCTTCGGCATCTTACAAGTTCAGCACCCCTTCTCAAAAAAAATGGCGCCGCCCCATCCCGAAACCCGAAACCCGAAACCCTAAACCCCAAACCCCAAACCCTACATCCTCCCCCTAAGGCCAGGTCACTGCTCGGGCTCCGCTTTGCCGGATTCAGTGCCAGCCGCCATGAAAGAATGGCTCTTCAGCTGCCCGATGGCCTCGGACCCGCTGGACTTAAGGTTTAGGGTTTAGGGTTTAGGGTTTAGGGTTTAGGGTTTAGGGTTTAGGGTTTATAGGGTTTATAGGGTTTAGGGTTTAGGGTTTAGGGTTTAGGGTTTAGGGTTTAGGGTCAGGCCTTCTAAGGCTCGGGGTCTTCCGGCCAATGTGAGGAGTTTAGGGTTTAGGGTTTAGGGTTTAGGGTTTAGGGTTTAGGGTTTAGGGTTTAGGGTTTAGGGTTTAGGGTTTGGGGTTTAGGGTTTAGGTTTAGGGTTTAGGGTTTAGGGTTTAGGGTTTAGGGTTTAGGGTTTAGGGTTTAGGGTTTAGGGTTTAGGGTTTAGGGTTTAGGGTTTAGGGTTTAGGGTTCAGCATCTCAAGTCCAAGCATTCACTAGTCAAGCAATTACTCCAGGAAAATACCCACCCGCCCAAAGAATCCCACAACATTAAGAAAATATTTTACTTATAGAACGACCTTGCCCATGCCCAACAAAACGGCGACCTTGCCCAGTAAAACAGCGACCTTGCCCAGTAAAACGGCGACCTTGCCCAGTAAAACGGCGACCTTCGGGGTCCAAGGTCGCATTTTTACTGGGCAGGGGCGGAAGGTCGCCGTTTTACTGGGCAAGGTCGCCGTTTTACTGGGCAAGGTCGATTTTTTGACCGAACTGACCTTGCCCAGTAAAACGGCGACCTTGCCCAGTAAAACGGCGACCTTGCCCAATAAAACGGCGACCTTGCCCAGTAACTCCGCCGTTTTACTGGGCAAGGTCGCCGTTTTACTGGGCAAAAAGGGTACCCCGATTTTCGGAAACCCCGGCATGGGTCCGTGGATCCTTAGGGAGAGGGGCTCAGGGGCTCGCCTTGGGGTAGTGTCATGGTCCCTTAATCGGGCCCTTGAAAGGGTACCCCCCCTTTTCACCCCGTATATACCCCTTATATACCCTATGCAAGTTAAGGGCCCGCGTACATCAGAACCCTTTAAATGAGGCTCGGACCACATTCAGGGCCCATGAAACTACCCCAAGAGCTTTCTAAACCCTAAACCCTAAACCCTAAACCCTAAACCCTAAACCCTGAACCCTAAGAGCTCCCGGGGGTCGCCACACCAGAGGCTGAGTTCTCGGCCGGGTGGGTGAAGCGTGAGTAGCCGGTCCTGAGCAGCCCGAGGGTCCACGATGCAGCCCCAAGGTACGGCGGGGTTGCCCCAGGCTAGGGTTTCGGGTTTAGGGTTTAGGGTTTAGGGTTTAGGGTTTAGGGTTTAGGGTTTAGGGTTTAGGGTTTAGGGTTTAGGGTTTAGGGTTTAGGGTTTAGGGGTTTAGGGTTTAGGGTTTAGGGTTTAGGGTTCAGGGTTTAGGGTTCAGGGTTCAGGGTTCAGGGTTTACGGTTTTAGGGAATAGGGTTTAGGGAATAGGGTCTAGGGTTTAGGGTTTGGGGCCTTAAGCCCTGAAAGAAAGCCCTTCTACTCATGGGATTAAAATTTCCCTTAAGGGAGCACAGAAGAAAAGTCCATGGGAGCACCCAACTGACGTTGAGGGTTGAGGGATTCAAGGCTTAGCAAACGGAACTTGTGCTTTATGAGCCTTTTCTTAGCTCGACCTTCGTTGCGTCCTGTTGTGACCAGGCATTGGCAGAGAAGTTCCCAATGGCACGCCGCAGTCTGAAACCTGAAGCCTTCGGCCCTAACCCCAAACCCCAAACCCCAAACCCTAAACCCTAAACCCTAAACCCTAAACCCCAAAAGGAGACCCAAGATGTGCCCGGATGGTTGACCACACCTACGGGGGCTGCAGTTTGAGGCTTGACTATTTTTGGCGGCCCTAAGCCCTAAACCCTAAACCCTAAGCCCTAAACCCAAAACCCTAAACCCTAAACCCTAAACCCTAAACCCCAACCTCAAGCCCCCCCCCCCCCCGCCCCCCCCCCCCCCAAAAAAAAAAAACTCTGGCCGGGACGCAACTTGATGGCCTCCTGCTTCAGCTCCGGCTTCGCCTGCGATGCAGGGCTTCTTAGGGTGCTTTTGGGTTTAGGGTTTAGGGTTTAGGCTTTAGGGTTTAGGGTTTAGGGTTTAGGGTTTAGGGTTTAGGGTTTAGGGTTTAGGGTTTAGGGGGTTTAGGGTTTAGGGTTTAGGGTTTAGGGTTTAGGGTTTAGGGTTTAGGGTTTAGGGTTTAGGGTTTAGGGTTTAGGGTTTAGGGCTTCTTAGTGGAGGGTTCTCTGGACACCTTCTTGGGCTCAGGTGCCTGTTCCCCAAAACCCCCTAAAAAGAAGCCCGAAATTTTAGGCCAGAAAGAAAAAACCCTGACGCAGCCACAAACACAAAAAAAAAAAAACATTAATAGTAACAATAATACTAATAATAATAATAAGAAGAAGAACAAGAATAACAATACTGGAAAGAATAATGCTAAAGTCACAAAAAAAGCCCCGAAATCCACAAAAAAAGCGAGGTGCTGCGAAGACGTCGTAGCTCTCGGGCTGGAGCAGCTTGAGCTGGTCCTGTGCCCGGACTGGTTTTGAAGGTTTGGGGTTTGGGGTTTAGGGTTTAGGGTTTAGGGATTACGTAGGGCTTAAGAGGAATTGGAAGTTCACCAGAAAACCGTTTAAAGGGAGTATGCAAGGTGCCTAGTTCCGACTTTCGCTACCAAGAAGTTGAGGGCCTGGGGTGCGAGGCCTAGGGCTTCAGATCGAGCCAGGGTATCAGGGCTCTACTCAAAATACATCTTTCCCTGCGCGCTTAGAATCCTGCACCCCGGGGTTTAGGGTTTAGGGTTTAGGGTTTAGGGTTTAGGGTTTAGGGTTTAGGGTTTAGGGTTTAGGGTTTAGGGTTTAGGGTTTAGGGTTTAGGGTTTAGGGTTTAGGGTTTAGGGTTTAGGTTAGGGTTTAGGGTTTAGGGTTTAGGGTTTAGGGTTTAGGGTTTAGGGTTTAGGGTTTAGGGTTTAGGGTTTAGGGTTTAGGGTTTAGGGTTTAGGGTTTAGGGTTTAGGGTTTAGGGTTTAAGGTGCCAGGCCTCCAAAGTCCACGACTGGGCGGCGTCCCCGCACTCGAGGACGAACGGCATGCGGCCGTAGAAAACCGAAACGAAGGTATCACTGGCCTCAGGCATTTGATGGTGGGTCGTGAGGATTGCACTTCACAAGCCCTCCACCCCCCAAAGTCCCAAAATCATGTTCACTAAACTTCTGTTCTGGAGTCGGCGGGGTCCGGGGCCACGTGCGGAGGCTTCGCGTCACAGGCAGCCAATGCACCCCAAGCCCTAAACCTCTTGCGCTTGACGCAAGACACGCCGGGGCATCACCAAAGAGAAGCCTTGGGAGATTCCCCCCTTCTTGTAACAGTCCTTAATAGGGACAATAGTACCCCTATTGTCTGCTAGTATAAGAAGGGAACATGTCAAGGAAAGCCTGTAATCAAAGGCTCTTCCCGCCAATCTCGACCGATGGCTCGCGTCAGGGCAGACCCCAATCCTAACTCTCTACCCAGGACCCGGTCGTTGCACATCCTAAACTCCCACCTTCCCTAAACCCTAAACCCTAAACCTAAACCCGAAACCCCAGACCCTGAACCCTAAACCCTAAACCCGAAACCCTCCCACCTTCCAACATCCCCAACAAAACCCGAAGAGCATGGGATCCGCCGAGGCTCGGCCAGTGCCGAGAATGTGGCCTGTAGGCCACCTCAGTGTCCGCGACCCGGGGTTGCCAGCTTATGCCAGCTTTAGAAGCACCAAACCACGCTGCCTCGTGCCTACCCTCGAACCGTAAAGCCCTTAGTTACACCCTCTTCTCAGACCCTGTCGGTAAGAACTATGGCCCTCGAGACCTTGATAGTTCAGATGTGACATGAAAAAGCTTGGGACGGAAAGCCAGAACCTGCCGTTGAAGCAGGCCAGACAGGTCGACGACTTAAGGCTTCTGCCATGCCTTCTTGAAGGTTCAGGCCTTGAGGGTTGATAGGCGTAGAATTCAAACACGTTGTGCCCAGGGTCACTGATTGTTAAGGTGCCGAAGAGATACAGCCGGCACATCTGTTGCCGCGAAATCCTCAACTCCAAATAGGCCCTAGGCCCCTAAACCTCAAGCCCAAATCCCAGACCCTACATGGCTCGGCCCAGCGACAGCCGAGGGCATTGCGCCGCAGGAAGTCCCTGACCTCCACCTCCAGTCTTTTGGCATCCTGCCAGGACAATCTAGGGGGGTTTTGAAGGGTTTTGTATACCCTAAACCCTAAACCCAGAATATGCCAGAACAATCTGAACACCTGTTTGTGCATGCAACTGTTCTAAAACACCGCCTGAAAGTCATCTGTTGGTGTGCCCTTCTCAGATTGCCTGCCCCCTGGGATTGCTATGGATGGGTTGGAGAAAGCAAGCGCGCCATGTGCCGGCTTCCAAGGTTTGCGATTCGCCAAACGTCCTAACGAACCCCAAGCACGAGCTCCTCGACCCCCACCGCAAGAAACTCCACGACGCGCGGTCATGGGTGGGGGGGTATTTAGGGGGGTTTAGTGGGGGTTTAGTGGGGGTGTTTAGGGGGGTTTAAGGGGGGTTCAATTAGGGAGGTTTAGTGGGGGTTTAGTGGGGTTTAGGGAGGGCTTAGGGAGGGCTTAGGGAGGTTTAGGGGGTTTAGGGGGGGTTTAGGGGGGGTTTAGGGGGGGTTTAGGAGGTTTATGGGGTGACTCCGGGAATGCGCCCCAAGAGTTTTTTGCACACCAGTGCACGCAGGAGGATGTTCAGGAGTCAGGACAAACCGTAAACCCTAGCCTTCTAAACCACCGTGGGCCAGCATACAACACAAATTGACACCTCTTTCTACTCCAAATAGCCCCAAAGCCCGACGCCTAGAAAACATTTCAAGCCCGAACCCTGAAACCGTAAAACCCAAAACCCCAAACCCTAAATCCCAAACCCTAAACCCTAAACCCCAAACCCTAAACCCTAAACCCCAAACCCTAAACCCTAAACATGCCTGACCCCGGGGGCCTTCGGCGCCTTGGGACAGCGGATTTTCGGCTGGCAGGCCATGGACAGGAGCCACCGGATCAGGGATTTCGTTGAGATTGTTAGGAGGGGGGGGGTTTAGGGTTTAGGGTTTGGGGTTTGGGGTTTGGGGTGTGGGGTTTGGGGGTTTGGGGTCCAGGGGTTTGGGGTTTGGGGTTTGGGGGTTTGGGGTTTGGGGTTTGGGGGTTTGGGGGTTTGGGGTCCAGGGGTTTGGAGTTCTAGGGCCTTGGCCATGTTGGCTGCTTGGCACTGGAAGGTGCATCACTACGAGCCAACAGCTGGCTTTTGGGTTTAGAGGTGTGGGCTTGCGACGTATTTGGGCTGAGGGTGCAAGGTTCTCTGGCTACCTGGTGCTGCCCTGTGGCTGTCAGGACGTGATTGGAGCCTCTGGCTGTGGCATACAGTCCACATGTCAACCCTAAACCGTAAACCCTAAACCCCGAACCCTAAACCCTAAACCCTAAACCCTAAACCCACGGACGCTCGGCTGGGGCCCGGAGTGCAAAGCTTGAAGCCCGAAGCCGGAAGCCTGCCCTTCCCCTCTGAAAAAAGCATGGAGCACTGAGAAGGTCAGTGTTCTTGATGTCCAACCTGCCAAAATCCCAAACCACAAGCTGAAAGTGTTGAGGAGTCTAGGTTGAGGGCACTCAGGGTTAAGGGCTCTACCGGCTATCGGCTTTACCGGCTTTACCGGCCTTCCCAAAAGCCTCGAACCTAAACCCCAAACCCTAAACCCTAAACCCTAAACCCTGAACCCTAAACCCTACACCCTAAACCCTAAACCCTAAACCCTAAGCTGCCAGCCTTTGTTCCTGTCTTGGTCCAGCGCTTTGGGGCTTCCAGCCAATGGCAGGGCCGAGGCGCCCGTGAAGCTGAGGGTGTTTGGGGGGGAAGGGGGGTTGGGGGGTGTCCCTAAGCCCTAAACCCTAAACCCTAAACCCTAAACCGTAAACAGGGTGTCTTTGGGCCTTTCGTAGAGGGGGGAAAAGTCTGGGGGTTTCAGGGTTAAGTGTGATCTACGTGTGCACAGCGGCACCAAGCATTAGCCCCACGAGGGCTGGACCCTGCAATCCTTCGAAACTAAGCCAGGGCTGAGGGTTTAGGGTTTGGGGTTTAGGGTTTAGGGTTTAGGGTTTAGGGTTTAGGGTTTAGGGTTTAGGGTTTAGGGTTTCGGGTGTTGAGGGATGTTCAGGGTCTAGGGCCTATACCTGGGACGGTGGCACTTTCGAAGGGTTGACCCCGTGCCGGAGCACTGGTAGTCCAGCCAATTTCGAAGAAGAGGCAGGTTGAAGCGGGCTGGAGCTGCTGGCCCTGGGGTAAATGGCTAGGCCTGCAAACATCTGCAACCCTACATCTGCAACCCACAACCCTACGCAAGGTACTGGCCGGAACTTTCAGCCTTTTTAACCTGAACTTTCAGTTTTTTCAAGTTCGAAGCTTGAGCACGAAGAGCTGAGATCCGAAGCGAAGTACGACTGCCTCTTCTCGCACAGCTTTTTCGAAAAGCCTTCATGTTCAAAAAACTATGTGAGCTGCCGCACATGAGCTTATACCGGCCGAAGCCATGTTGGAAGATAGAGGAAACCCGGGTTCTAACAACATGCCCGTAGAAAAGGGAGGATTGCATATGGCCTCTCGGCAAGCATCACGTGGCATGGGCCTCCGGCAGACAACAACCCCCACACAAAAATGACAGACTCAGACTTGTCAGCCCAAAGCTTGCAAGGCTTGTTTGAAGGTTTGAACCCAGCATTTCTCAAAGTACGGCCATGCTCGGGGTAACCCTAAGTCCTGCGCCTAAACCGTAACGAACGCATGAGCAGGCAGCGTTGGAAAAACAAAAGCGCGGAGGGACATCATCTTCCCGCGGCTTGCATTAGCATGTCAAGCTTCGATCAGCCGGACGTATCCTGACAAAAACATGGCGAAGGCTCATGATGCCAAAACCGAGAGGCATGAATCATAGAACAATTTTACCTAGGGCACCAAGAGCTATACAAGGGATTTATGAGGGAGGGTTTGTACTAGTAAGAATACAAAAGCACCCACAAAACGTTCCGTGTCCCCGAACCCCACCCCTAAAGCCCAAAACCCTTTCACAAACCCTAAACCCTAAAATTCTAAGGGGGCTCAACCCTAAAACCCTAAAACCCTAAAACCTGCAACCCCAAAAATAACCCGAACACACTTGAAGCCCTAGGCAAAACCTCTAAACCTTAAGCCCGAAACCCTTAGACCCTAAACCCTAAACCCTAAACCCTCGCAAGAACCTTAAATCCTATCCTGCCCACCTGGTCTTGCTGTGCTCATGAACCCATTCCTGCGCGGCCTTCGGCGCGAGCGTCCGGCTTTGCCGGGTACAAAGCCGTCCCACAAGCAGGGTCGGTTTCCGTGGGAGAACTCCAGCAGGCAAGATGCTTGGAGCTTCTTTGCATGCCTGGTAGCTGCGCGCCACTCGGAGCCTACTGGAAAAGCCCCCTGCAGCGGCACTCACTAGTTTTGTTTTAAGAAACCGAATATGCAGACTCACCAATAAAGGGGATGCCTGTGCTTAAGGATGTTGGGACTTTCAGCACACCCGGAGCTTCTAGCTTGAATGTAAGGAATTGTTGTTGGGTCCTGAATGGAGGGGCGTTGAAAGGGGGTTATGTAACTCAAGGGTTCCCTAGCACTCCCCACTACTCCCTAAGGCTCCCTAAGCTTCCCTTAGGCTCCCTAGGGATCCATCCCCCCTGAACCCCCCTCCCTATGAAATAACGAAGGTTTGGGGGCTTAAGGGGGCGTTCTCTTGGCTGCAATCAGAACAGCGCAGTATGCTGGCTCCAACCCCTGATAACGGCACGCAAAACCCGACGTGGCAACTCAAGCCCGACATGCTAACCTCTAAACCAAAACCCCTTCTTGCACTTTAGCCCTTTATTAAAGCCGCTTGAAGCACCCTTACCACAATCAAAACCTTCAAGGCCTGAAGAACCTTTAAGCATGTGAAGCTTCAAGCCCTAGTTCCCAACTGCCAGGCCCTCACTTTCGCCAAGCCCCACGCGCACTCGCCTGGGTTCTTTCTTGCGCCGGGCTTGGCTTTGAGCTACGGGCTTCGGGGCTTCAGCTTCGCACTTCAGCCCTACAATGGCCTCGTGGCTCCGTGCCCTGAACCCTGTAGCCCCCTCGCCCCCGCTTCCCCACAAAAAACTGAACCCTGAACCCCGAAACCCAACCACCTTTTCGGAATCCCTGACTGGCTCAAAGGTTCAGGGCATTCTCCTGAACAGGGGGGGGAAACCTTCAGGGTTGTTGGATAGCTTAGCCTCGGACTTCCCCAAAATGTGCGCTTCTTCAGAGAAAAAACAGCGCCGCCCGCAAGCAAGGGGCATGTCCTTCCGCGAACCCTCGGAGACCGCCCGCCTGCTGACGCAGAAAATGGCATGTTTCTCATGTCAGTGCCAACAACCGGCTTGACATGCCACAAATAGTAGAGGCTGAACAGAAAGAGGCACGCAACAGGATCCGGAAGTGCAGGAAGTTGAGCCAGCTGCATGTTCAGGTTGCCGTGTTGGAGGTACTGCACGTTATGCACAGAGTCAGGGCAGGCGGCAATGTTCGGGGTTGAGGCTTGAGCATGTGAGGTCAAGCTTGGGGCTTCTGAGTCTCTCCTAGGGTCAAAACCTTGGACCCAACATGCTGGCGGATGAAGCCATCTGAAGCCCAACTTCCTGACCCAAAGGCCTGCAGCCCCAGCAGACAGCCCCGAGATCCGCCAACCTCTGTTGGGGAGACCTTAAATCCTAAACCCTCGAAAAACGACTCTCAAAAAACCCAACGAACCCTGTGAAGCATAGGGGGTTCGTGGACTCACTGGATCCCCGAAAGCACCCCAGAAATTAGGGCTTAGGGTGTAGGGTGTAGGGTTTAGGGTTGAAGGCTTGGGGTTTCGGGCTTAGGGTTTAGGGTTTAGGGTGTAGGGTTTAGGGTGTAGGGCTTAGGGTTAGGGGTTAGGGTTTAGGGTTTAGGGTTTAGGGTTTAGGGTTTAGGGTTTAGGGTTTAATTAGGGTTTAGGGTTTAGGGTTTAGGGTTTAGGGTTTAGGGTTTAGGTGTTTAGGGTTTAGTTTAGGGTTTAGGGTTTAGGGTTTAGGGTTTAGGGTTTAGGGTTTAGGGTTTAGGGTTTAGGGTTTAGGGTTTAGGGTTTAGGGTTTAGGGTTTAGGGGTTTTTTAGGGTTGCCCATTTCCCCCTCCGACCTCAGGATGGATCCGGGTCTGGGCGCGGAGTCCCCTGCGAAGGGGCGCGGGCAGGGTGGGGAGGGTTTAGGGTTTAGGGTTTAAGGTTTAGGGTTTAGGGTTTAGGGTTTAGGGCTTAGGGTTTAGGGTTTAGGGTTTAGGGAGTAGCTAGTCATGGTATTCCCCCTCCAAAGTTCCAAAATAAGAATACTATACAAGCCCCTCCAAAACCCCGTTCCACTTTTTAAGGGCCCTCTATTATAGTGGTGTAGGGGGGGGCGGAGTGTGGCGGAGCGTAGGGGCTTCTAGCATGCGGCGCGTAGAGGAGCGTCGCTTTGGAGGCACACTGCGCCCAGAAACCTTTGCTCTCGCCCGAGAACCGACACGAAGCCAACGGTGGACTCTCATCAGACTGCCTCCTCAAGACCCCTGTAATATAGGGGCCTTAAGGATTAAAATAGGGTTTTGGGGGGTTTTATAGTATAGAAAGTGATTTTTCCCACCCCTCTATTAGCTGGGGGTGGGCCGACATCGCAACCCTGGCACCCAACAGTCGAAGATCCCTAACCCTAAGCCCTCAACCCTCCGCCCCAAAGCCTCAACCCTCAAACCTCAACCCACAATCCCCTACGCCCTAAACCCTAAACCCTAAACCCGAAACCCTAAATCCTAAACCCGAAACCCTAAACCCTAAACCCTGGAATGCCGATCTCGCCGCCTGACTCGGGTGTGGCGCGGCGCTGCTTCCGCGAGAGCAAGGCCTCCACGGCCATCATCTTGTCGATGGACTCCTGAGGGTTTTGAGGGTTTTGAGGGGTTTAGGGTTTAGGGTTTAGGGTTTCGGGTTTAGGGTTTAGGGTTTAGGGTTTAGGGTTCAGGATTTAGGGTTTCGGGTTCAGGGTTTCGGGTGTAGGTTTAGGGTTTAGGGCTTAGGGTTTAGGGTTTCGGGTTCAGGGTTTAGGGTTTAGGGTTGAGGGTTTTCCAGGATTTTTGAGTGGCTTTTCAAGGCTTTTTGAGTTCAAGGCTTTTTGAGGTCTTTTCAGGGTTTCCAGGCTTTTCAGGGCGTTTCAAGGTTTTTCAGGGTTTTTCAGGGTGCTTCAGGGTTTTTGTGGGTTTTCAGGGTTTTCAGGGTTTCGTGGGTTTTCAGGGTTTTGATTTCTGATTGTTTTGATGTCATTGGGCTTGGAGACATCTGGAGAGTCAAGGGACCTAACGGCCCCCATGCCCCACCCCCAACCACCTCTATATTCTAAACCTTCAAAATCTTAAGGCACGCCCGAAACCCTGAACCCTCCAATGCGAAAAATGCGCCCCCCCCAAACCCTGAACCCTAAAACCCTAAACCCTAAAACCCTAAACCCTAAACCCTAAACCCTATACCCTGAGCTTCCCTGAACCCTAAGCCCTGAAAACCCGAAGAGCCAAGCTGAGCTGACGGGCGGTAAACGTCTTCTTGATCGCCGCGGAGATCCTTAACAGACATCAGGGCTCTGCGGTGATTCTACCATTTCCTTAAAAGAACCCCCAGAAAATAAAAAGAATCATAATAATCATAGTAATAATAGTCCCTATATTCCCCTTATAAGGAAGAATATGTTTTTCTTTTTTGGGGGTTCTTAAGCAAATAGTAGGGTTTTAAGAGATGTTTCGAGCTTTGGGTGCCGTGGCTCCCGGAAGGCTTTGGGGCTTTGGGTTTAGGGTTTAGGGTTTTTAGGGTTTTGGGGTTTAGGGTTTAGGGTTTAGGGTTTAGCGTCTGCTCCCGGAACCCTTCACCCTGCACGTGGAGTCTGTTTAGTGCTCTCTTTGCCCATGGAGGTCCGGTCCAGCCCCAAAGGAGGCTTGTTTTTGTGAAGCCTTCTGCACGGCGTATTCTTCTCCCAACTTGGTGGAAAGGAGCTTAATTTTCAGAATCGGTTTTCATGCAAGACTTGGTCCGATGATCCCAAAAGACCCTCAAAAGAATCTTCCGTTCAGGGGCTACAATGGGATATTCAGGCCTTTAAAGGCTGTGAAGGCTTGTTTCGCACTTTTGATGTGAGGGTCCCCCCACCCCCCTCTTGTTTGGGCGCTTTGGTTGTGCTCCGGATGTGGACTCCGTCGCTTCAAACCAGATCGCAGTCAGAGGCTCCGATCAATCTTGATGTCGCCGGCCTGCGATGTCTCCAGTCGGTAATCCTCAGGAGCGCGCGAGCTTGAAAGCCTGATGCGTTTCGAGCTCTATCACTTGGGATGTTCCCCCTTAGACTAACAGCCCTTAATAGGGGTTATAGTACCCCTCTGTCAAAATCCTGTTAATACATCTATCACTCATCTGAGAGCGTGAGTATTCATATTTGCTAGCCTTCTAACCACTTTGCTTGAGGGGCTTTAGGGCTTGTGGATTGCAACTCCAGATGCATCGAGGGCCCTGCTGAAAGGCTGCCTCTGAGGGATTTTAGGGTTGTTTTTGGGTCTGCTTACTTCATGGCGCAGAAGTCCGAAGCACTACAAGTCTCCACTCCTGATGCTTCATTGACATCTTGGGCTGCACATTCACCGTCAGAAAACAAGCCATGCCTTAGAATCCAGCAGAAACCCTAAACCCTAAACCCTAAACCCTAAATCAAGCCCTTTCTGACTCAAGGGCCGGGTCTCGCCCGACAAGATGTGTGCAACCGTGGAGGATGCGAGGGTGCCTCCTGCGGAAGAGGTGCTCTTGTCTTGGGCGACAACAGAATGAGCCCCACACAACGCCAGGCGAGCGTCTTGGGAAAGTTTTGTAAGCGTGGCTTCTCATGGGCGAACAGCATGTCGGATGCCTCGGGTAGGCCTAGCTTGCAGCCAGCTTGCACTTGCGCACGTGGATGGTTGCAGGCACAAACACGGGAGCCATATCAGAAGATCAAACAGGGGTCCCAACCCTGACTTCAGGTCTCCATTTTGTGGTCAGGCGTACCTTTTTGGGGTCCGTATTAGAACGGAATCCTAGTATTTGGGGCCCTTTCGTACACCCCCATTTAAACATTGGGGCTCCAGCGCCTCGGGTGTTTTGGGCTTTCGAGCCTTGGCTTTATTTAGGTTACGGTTGTTGGGGCTTTTGGGCATTCTGGCCTTTAGGGGTTCAACTGTAGGGCTTAGGGACTCGGGAGT